CATTAACTTCTATATCTTATATTTCACATATTAACATTATATGATGTGGCATGTATCATTTGTTCTCATCGGTGCGAAACAATATTTGACTGACGGTCAGTTCCACGTGGGACTGGGTATGTCCTGAGAAGACGGCATCTCATGGAAGTTATCAGAGGGCTGGGCAAACTGCTATGATGGGTTTTCTGACTGAATAGAAAGAATTGATAGAATCGGTCTTGGAATCCAACCTGTAAATTGGTTGTTGAAGATGTCTAAAATTTGCAGAGGAAGAGTTTCAAAAATTTTTGAGGTCCGATTTTAGATTATTATCTTGCAAATACAACACAGTAAGGCGTGTCAAGTTGCTGAAAAACTTTAAAACAGCTTCGTTTAGCAGGTTGAAAGAAATATCAGATTTAGTCACACTTATGAGCTTTAAGAAATTATTCTGTATATTGCTTGTAAAGTTTTTTTTTATAACGTGTTGTATTTTTTTGTAAAATTGTCTTTGTTAATCAACATTGTTAAGTGGATCTGCAAATGTAGAGATTTAAATTAACGTTTGGAAAATAGTTAAGGCTAGAAATTTCACTCTAAACCCTAGCATATGTTTTATTTTCTTCTAGAAAGATTATTTAGGTGCAAAAGACAAACGTCGGATAATTCACAAGTATTTATTTGAGTGGAAAAGAAAAACTCGTTCATAGAGACAACGTACGAAACTATATTTAATATTTTATAAAACAAGATGCCTGCCGGCTAGGATATGACATAGTCAAATATGATAGACTTGATCACTTACTTTTAAAGATACAATTTGAGTGTGGACAAGCAATGTACAACTCATTACAACAAGTCATTCACAATGTTGCACAAAGTTTAAAACAAGTTTTCGGCCATAAAATGTATCATAAGCAAAAATGTAAACGTTCATATTTTATTTTTATCATCTACTACCATCATTTTGACCAATATCAAATTCTGAAAAAAATATATTATTAAAAACTAATCAAATCTGTTTTTTATTTATTTCAGATATTTATTTTACAAAAAGTTTTAAAAAAATTCAAAGTTATTGCATCAAACTTGTAATAATCAATAAAATTTTGCAGTTCTTATTGTGTTTATCAAGTTTCATCAACTTTCAAATTATCATCATGCATTCAAAATCATCTTAATCAAATCAAATTTTCAATCTAAAATAGCATTAAGATATATAATTATACCTGTAATCTCTGATGTTTTCAAAATCTCATAACATTTTTAAAATTACTCAGAACACTAGCCTATTTTTTTATTTGTTCTATACTATTTATAATTTTTCAACATCTTTAAATGTTTAGCTCATGTTTAGATTATCTTGTGAAATTTCAAACATAATTAATAAATATGTCACAAAAAAATTCAAAACTTCATAAAAATTAAAACAAAAATTAAGAGCAACTGATGAAGAGATTGGTTAAATATTTTCATCAATGAGAATAAAGAGTGTCAATTTGGATCTCTAGTGCAACCAAAACAATTTGACCTTAAAAAATGAGTTCAAATTTTTGCCAAAAAATACCATTCAGTCCAAATGAAAATAACATAAGTTGAGTTCAACAAAAACTCAAATTTACAACTTCAAATTAATTATACAAAAAAATTAAATAAACTATAAATTTAAAACTTATCACACAAAAATGGTTTTTGATAACAAATTTTTATAAAATATGAAGATAAAGCAATAAGACTGACTTCCAATCCACTTGTTGAAAATTATAGTAATTGACACATCAAAATACATACATAATAATGATAATACAAAAATATTTAATGTGTGCTAAATTGAATTGTCAAAAAAAAATAAAAAATATGAAACAACAGTTATTTCATTTTTCACATAAAATTATCGTTAAATTTATCAAATTATCAAGTTCAAAAATGTTCTTTTTCAAGATATGTTTTAGACAATTAGGAAAATAAATAGTATCTATAGAGTCTTCAATTGCTTTCTAACTATAACTTGTTATCATCTTCAGTTTCAGTATTTTTTCCCAAGTTTAAACTGCATTTTATGTGCCACACAATTCAATATGGTAAGTCATGTAGACCAAAATACATGCATTTACGAAGAAAGCAAGAAACAAGTAGATAGCCAGCACAAAGAATTATGGGTTTCATCATTGCAAACAACATTCATGAAAACACTCGGGCTTTATTCACTATAAAACCTAATTGTGTCACTTAGGATTTTGGTGAGGTTTGTTAAACAGTTGCAGATTAACTAGTTTAGCTAACCAATATTTTATCTCACTAAAATTGATTCAATCTGAGTTAACTCCCAACAATCTATATCTTAATTCATCCACTATGAGTGGGACGGATGATGGAGATAAGATCTTATTTCTTTGTACTTGTTAGTGAGAGATATATAAAGGATGGAGAACCATTATTAGTATCTCTCATCTTCAAAGTTACGTTTTTATCTTTGAATGAATTCCTCTCTAAACTCTAGGGTTACACTTAGTATGAGATCTAATGGTGGCTATCGGATAAAAAATGGACATAAATAAGTTAGATGTGTAAAAAATGGAACATGACATGAACATTATCAATCAACATTATTAAATAGCACTTCAGTTTGCTGCTAGATTTAGGTTCGAGAAGGTGATCAATCTACTCATCTTGTCAATAATATCCATTCTATTACTCTTCTCATTCATCATAAATAAAAAAAATGAATTATTTGTTCATTAAATTGGTTTAGGATGCATATCACATTTTGTGATAAAACTCTAATATGCGATTAATCTCCTTGTTGAATACCAAATCAATGTGGTCTGACAAGAAATAGATGTATTCTCTATTCAACATATTGTAGATGATTACATGCACTCAAGGATCATGAAATAATCAATTGCTGTTGGAGCCAATAGTGAACTTAAGAATGATAAAGTAGTATATTCTACTTTGTTTTTTTGTTAGATTGTCAAAGAATAATCCAGTTCAGTTTGCAAAATTGAAGAACTCTGGATCAAATAGTTCAAATTCTAGATGATGTCATGTTCATTATAGTAAAGATTGAGTAGATTATAGAAAAGTATACATTGGTAATTATGCTTTTCTCCACCATTCATGTATTGAGTGTGTTCATGTTGAAACAAGAAGCATGATCATGTGTGATGTACATAAAGAATTGAAAAGTCTTTGAGTTTTCCAGTATAGAATCATTCATCATGTCAAGCTCTAAACAACTAGTTACAATTAAGTTACAACTCTAGATTTATCAAGACGATAAGATTTTAACTATTTATCTTCAACGGCAATGCAAAATAACTTCAAAACAAGGTATGAATATTGTATCTTCACATAGTTTTTGGCTAGATTTACACTTTTTGTGCCGGTATGATTATAAACAAAATAAATCTGAGTGCATTTGACCACCCTTGTAAACTAAACTTGCAAAGCAATAGGAGATGGAGTTGGCCGCGTAGAAAGGTACCTTCATTGTGATTAAAAAACGTAGCAAATATGTCTTACTCCGATTATGTGGAAAAACACAAGTGTGGAGTGATTTGTAAACTTTAAACCTAAAACAAGTGAATTCGTTCTTTGATGCTCTTTAGATTATCAATTTATATTATAGAGAGATCAAACAAATTTCATGACTTTTCAAAATTACAATTTAAAAAATTTTGACATGAATATCCAAAATCACATTGATGATTTTGACTATATTATCATTATCTATCTTTAAAATTTTGGATAATAATTTATTATGTGAATTCTCATTTCATCTCTTAAACTTATTAACAATAATTTGATAATCATTGTGACATGAATTGTTTCATAGTTGTGAACAGATAATCATATAGAATAAAATTAGAATTATTTTGTTGATTAATTATTTTCAATAAAACTAGTAATAATTTTTAAATAATTTTTTATACTGCCTAACATATAATTTGAAATTTATCATATTCATGGAATGATAAATATTTTCAATATGGGAGTCGGTAGTCATCATTCACTTTTCGCTATTCAACATTCACTTGAAAATTTAAGAATGTTGAAGTTGTAATAAGAGTAATAGCTTTACAAATTATTGACTAGGATAATTTATAAATTACTGATGTGTGAAATGTAAATATTTTTATCACACTCTTTATCTCACTCATGAACTTTAAAAAAATTGATTAAATTTCAACATTCTGATAAGTTATAAATGATTGATAGGTGAAATAAATTTATCACACTTAACATACTAATAAGTATTGTTTTGCACTTTGAATATAGCATGATTTTCGTTTAGGACACTAGTAAATATTCTAACTTTTGTAAAAGTTCTAATTGTTTGTAACAATTAAAGTATTTAAAAAAATTATTCTTAAGTATGAAGACATTCTATTTTTTGTTTTATCGCATGAGCAAAAACTTTAGATTTTTTACGCATAAAATAACTGATTTGGCAATTCCTTTATCCATGAGATAGGTAAAATACAATAATATAATTAGTTGTTAAAATCTTCAAGAGGTCTCTACTGATATATATGTCCCAATGTGGTAAAATCACCATATGTTACTATTGGACAAATCGCTTCAGTGGGTTTTTTCTTCTATTTTGCAGTCAAGGAGATCAAACACTATAATCAAACAACTAGATGCATATACGATCCTCTCTCATTAGGCAAACAGATCTAATGAGCTATGATATGACTTGTGAGATCTTTCAAGCAGTTAGGCATGTTAATATCTTAGCCAGATTTGAAACACAAGCAACATGTCAAAAATCGCACATTGAAGATTTAGGGTCAACCTTCAATATGCGATTTGTATAGTACTTTGTTTAGGCTTAGGGTTAAAATCAATCAAGATCGCATATTAGAGACCAAACAAAGTTTTGCTTTCCATGGCAATGTGTAAGTGATGATCTCTGCCTAAATGAGAAAAATAATAAACCCATTATTATAGCATAAAGTGATAATGATCATATCACTGTCTACGATGATAACACTTGGTCACACTAGGCGAAAATCTTTGTAAGGCAATGCTTTCAACCAGGTATATGACTAAGGTCAATTGCACCTCAAACAGACGGGGTGAAACCAAAGCTGATAAAAAGATTCATCTCAAAACTTTTACTCTTCGAACATCTCACAGACAATTCCGAGTCAGCTTGCTTCTTCTACAAGTGATGAGTAATTCACCTGTGTTGTAGTGAAGCAATGAAACAAGAATCCGGAGGTCAAGGTCGTTCAAAAGCCGTTGTTGATGCTCACATGTACAGCGGGATTTCTTAAAGGACAAAATCTTGGGAATCTCGCTACTTTAGGCACCATACTCTCCTGGATGCTTTATACTAGCTTAACGAGATTCAGGCCAATGCCTATCTATCGGACTCGACGTACTACTACCTATACAATTTTATGATCGCAACGAGTCTGTAGGTAGAAAAGCTTCGATAAGGAACATCGAAGCTGGAAAGACCTCGATAGAACCGATTTATACAAGAGCTGGATGCGCTGTCGCCATAATTCGCTTTAACGACTGAAAGGAGGCTTCCAAAAAAGTATGGGCACATCCAGCTGGAAGGACAGACATCGAAAAAAGTCATATAAAAAGCTTCAAATGCATTGAAGTCAGTAACTAGAATTCACAAATATGCACAAGTTCGTTAAAGGCATGTCAAAACATAAAACATATCCTTACAAGATTACATTCTACTGGAATGAGTCTGTCAGTAGCAATACGAAATGCAAATGGAGGTAATGATGATACAAAAGCAGAAGATCAGTAACAACGACAACTAAACGGCTATCAATTGTATTTGAGAAGCATACCTAGAAGCATGGCCTTGTAATCTTTTCCAAAGTCATCGGAGCGCATTGGCTGAGCCCCGACACCACATGTTCTAACGATACAGACTTCCAAATACAAAGTCATCTCCAAGATCGAAAGAAGAAGACGACTGACTTCTAGTGCTGCTTTGTTCGGCGGCTTTCCACAGACTTCTGTAACTATCGCCACGACCTGATCCTGGATTGACGGTTGAGACACAGATCGAAGTTTACCTACTTGCATCGACAATTGATTATAATAAAGGACATCAGAAAGAAGATAATGAACTGAAATGGACTTTGAGGCAGACAGATTCCTAAGAAGGTAAACGATTCAAGACAAAGCAGAACCAGAATTATCAAGGGGAAAATACTCTCCAGGATAATATATAAAGTGATCATTGTAAGTGGGCCGTCGAGTTTAACTTGAGGGCAAGAGGAATTACCTGTAAGCCATGCAGAATCTCAGGAGCTGGAAGCTCGGGAAAATGCAAGTAATCAGGCGGACCACCTTCTTCTACTCTTGCAATTGCGTGATGTGCCTGCTGACAGAGGAGTCTTAGTAGGAGGAACGCCAACTTATAGATCTGGATGGCAACCCTTTCGGAGTATTCTGAAGCACGTAATCCACCAACAGGTGATGATGACAAGGAGGATGTCCTTCTGTTAGGTGAATGATGACGCGGCTGGGATGGACTACGAACACTTGACTGTGAGCTGTCAGATGGTTCGCTCGATTCAACATAACATCCTGTTGCAGTAACGGCAAACCAAGCACATGTACTACCCACAGTAGGTGACTTGGTATGATCTACAATTTCGTCTTTGAGCACAGGAGAACAACTGAATCCTGTCCCAGTTCCACTACGGATAGTGCTACCCAGTCGGACAAGACCCTCTCTAGCTATAAAGGCCAAGAGGTGAACAACCAATTCCCCAAAGTCGGAGACTGACTCTTTCAGTGTACAGGTCCATTGTGCATTATGATGAGAAACCTCACAAAGCAGAGCTACAACATGCTGTGTCTCCTGCAGAGCTGAAAGTGTAGTACGAGGCCTTTGAAGCTTCGCTTTCTTTCTGCCTTGCAGGTCCAAGGGTGTACTGGGCGAACGAAGTGCTCCCAAGAGACGATCTTTCTCCAACTGTATGTAGGTTATAGCATTCTGTAGTACTAATCCTCCAGGGTCCTTATCGGCCAGTGAAAGCACCAGACCCGTTACGACGGAAACACCCAGCCCCCAAAGCCCGTCGTGCTGTTTACCATTTTTCCAAAATACAGAGAAAGGCCCTTCCATATCTCCTGAGGAGAAAGATAATTCTTCCTTGAACTGATTGTTGAGCATTCGCAAATGAGAGAATATTCCCGCTCCGTGGAGCAATTCTGCCCCATTTCTTAGACGCACAAACAGTAAACAGAAGTTTAACATCATCTTTGAGAAGTCAAGTCCTTGTGGATCCTCGTGCATCCTTGAGAGAGAAACCCCGAGAGGAAAATGGTCCTGCAGTACAGGGAACCATGTGGAAGGTGCCAAAAAGTTCTTCATAAATGCGTTGATTATGGCTAAGGAAATATTTGCAAATTCGCTCTTCTCCGCAGCATGGCAAAGTGATGGTAGAAATCCCAGGCCGACTAATGTCACGTCCGCAAACGCATCTCCAGCCTCCTTATCCTCGATCACGCTGGATCCCTGTTTACTATCAAGAATACTCTTTTGGGACTGCATTAACTCTAAAATAAGAAGAAGACCACCCAGAAGAGGCTTCAATAAGTCTGTCGTTTGCTGCGGTAAGAAACAGCGAGCATCAAGAAGTTTCCTGAGGCAATTCACCACCGTGCGAGATAAGTGGGCACATATGCCCCAAACAGACACCTGCATAGAAGGCTTGCCCAGGCAAGATAACCATCGAATAAAAACCAAAACCAACTGCACTTGGGATGTCATGAAGTTCGGGGTAAGGTTACTTGTATCCCCTGATTGTCCTATGGAGCTGAGTATTCCCTCTAAGGCATCGCAGAGCTCTGTGTTGTAGCTTTTCAGTGTAGCGTCGGTCCAATCAATTTCTGATAGAGAATGAGCCTGCAAAAGCCACTACTATTCTTAATGCCGTATGTTAAACATACCATACATAACTCAGGTTTAGCAAAACATCTGAAAGCATAAATCTTATTCCTTCCATATATGCGGAGTACTATTTGCATCGTCCTAGACATTGACACAAACAGCTAAGCTGCAATAAATTGGATATAATAGAAAGTGCATTCGAAATGCGACAGTCCTGCCAAAATACATCAGGTTTCATCTCATTCACCGGTTAGTAGACACTTAAATATCCAAATTATGTCTTATTAATGTCGGTGCAACAACTACCTCAAGTTTATTGAAAACCGTTACTGAGAGAAGAGTTGTCCAGGATTTTAAGGCAGAAAGTTGGGAATCCCCTAGACAAGCCATCGCATTGGAGCTCTGTAGCCACTTAGAGGTGCTTTCTGCAACATATGCCGTTACAACACCAAAATCTGCAGTGGCCCACCACTCGAGCCCAAGTTCTGCTTCCAGCGCGACAGTGTCGTAGATAAAGGTATCACCGTAACATGGATGAAGATCTGGTAGCTTAGTTGAAACAGTAGGTTGGAGTAACAAGTCAACCTCATTACTAACGAGGAAATCTGCCACATGTTGAAACGAGCCCGACGGTATAGGCCTTCCTCCATCTAGTTCGCCTTGGAGGTGGTGGAAAAGGTCGTTGACAAGCATTACTTGTAGCCTTTCACCGTAACTGAGACAAAGTAGTGGTAACAACGTACAGCATGTCACTATCAGTACGTCTGATGCAATGCAGAAAGAGCATTCTGAAGAAACAGGTGACAAGACTAAGTCCAGTATGAGCTGAAGCCATTGCATCTTCATCTACCTTACACGAGTTTCCATGTACATGAACATGAATATAACACAACACAGAACCACACGTGAATATGATGAGTGTAATATGTCCAAGGACTCAGCAGCTCTCAACTTTCTTAATGTGACGAACAAATATTATAACATACATTTGATACTGATCGGAAGGTGGATGAATTAGAACAGGATCTTGATTGGTACTTGGGCAAATAATGGTTATTTTCTTTGTGGGGAATACTTACAAATACAAACACAGTACAAATACGACTCTCTTCACAATAAAATGTCCGTCTATCGTGTCAGTCCTGTTTTTTCCCACCTTCTCCGAAGACGCAATGTCTTCATAGATACACAGCTCTGCAAGGGACATTCTCTTCGTGTGGCGACAAACACATAATGATGAGTAGAGCTCATGTATTACAGTTACGAAAGGGCCAATACATATGGGTAGTGTCTTTGTTTACAACTGAGACTGAGCAATTATACCTGTAACCACGAGTAGAGTATTCCTCGGAAAGTTCTTCAAGCGACGGATGTTGACTGATCTGAATGAGCGATAATCAAAGAAAGCTTAGGTCGCATTAAACAATGGACTTCGATGGTCAACACAAGACACAAAAACATACTGTCAACTTCCAATTAGGTTCCTGTGGCATAACCACGTCATACAGGCAAACGTATTGTTACTAATGTTTCTATTCAAAAGACTGATATTCTCCTATTTTACTTCTACCCACACACACCCTGACATGTGTAACTGAAAAGCAACTGTACATAAGAAAGATTAAGACCTTGACCAAGCGAATACTGAGTGTGAAGTGCCTTTACACACCTTAGGGTCTACCCTAGTTATGGGGATTCAAACTCGGAAAACTAGTTGAATCTTGAAAGTATGTAAAAACTGCTAATAGATGTCGTACATTGAACCTCAAGAAAACACGTCCCTATAATGTGCTTTAGATGGCGAATAGATTCGTAGATCAGGTAATAGAGAAGTTTAACTTATCCGTAAATAAAATTTTCACCAGGTGGAGAACACTAAACACCTGCTTAGCTGCGTCTCGTATTCTTCTCGCAAGTGCTGCGTTAAGTCCTCTACAATCACCGGATAGAATCTTTCCCATCAAACCGACAATTAACAGACGGGCTTCAGCCTACAGCACAAGTCCATCAAAAGTCTAGATTAGTTCACACGAGTACTATGTCCAATGGAACCACTAGCATGACAAAAACTATGTATGATCTCACAAGAAGAATGCTCATTCGACGCTCATTACTGGACTGAAGCATCCGAAGCATGGTAAATAATAGCCAGCAGTATTTCATCAGACAGTGATAGAAAACTGCATGGGACAGGATTCACCTAATTTGTCTACGTATCTCGAGAAAATAGTCCTAAAGCATGTAGTAGTAGAGAAGTGAAAGCAATCAAGTATAGCTTGAGGATTTGAATCTGCCAAACGAAATGAATACAATGGACTTAAGACGTATATAAATCTAGATACTATCGAAACTATTCATTTTAAACAGAGGAGGTGGTTCGATTGGATGGGGTGATGCTCCTCGTCCGAGTGTCAACGAAACAACACAGCATGGTGCCACCCTTTCGCTCCGACACAGTCCGCTTACATACTTCTTCAGTAATTCAAGGTAAGGATCCGGAATGATAGGTATCTGCGCTTTCAGTTTTCATCTAATATCCAGTAGTGTGCTCAAGAACTCCAGAGCTGGAGCTGATTAGATAATTTCAGTGATTACCTTCGCACGAAGTAGCACACTTTTATCATACAAACTATGCGCATACGATCTCATAATTGCGCTCATCTGGAAAGCCCTGCACCACTCTGTCACAACCTGCTGAGCACCTGACGCTTCAATAGCCTGCTTAGATTTGGTGGTTCCGCTGCTCGTTTGAGCTGTCCCTCCTCCCACGTCATCTTTGTTGTCTTCTACAGAACCAGCGAGTGCACCATTCTTTACGCCCAGAACTCCCGTTTGCACAAGATGCTGTTGGAGAAAAATGTCTCGGGCCATGATTGAGAAAACAGATGCTTCACAGGAGTACCGGAAAGAAAATTCAACGAGTTTATCCTTGCTTATGCTTGAGGTTATGGACGTTTCGGGATCAACAGTAACCATGATCTTGGAAAGAAGCGTAGGTGTATCCGAGGCTGCAGCATTAGTGAAAGAAAGGCAACCCGTGAGGTGCCTCCAAAACTGATTCCGGCTTCGAAGTGCCTCTATGATGCGCATGTAATCTGTGCCTCCTTCCCAAATTGCTGCCAGCAGGAAGAGGACTCGAGCTAGTACTCGAGGATGGCTGCAAGACGTAAAAACCAAGCGTACTTGAGACGACCTACTCCATATCAATGTGAAAAGAATCTGAGGATTTCCCAATTTGAGTTGAGTATAGTGTACTAGGTATACTATACACAATGATATAATAGATAATCTGCATGATGAAAGTTGAGCATACTGTACTTTATATTTGGTTGTACTCATTGAAGCTGGAATCAACATAAGCAATCATTCTAACAGAGAACAAATACTATGCAAAAACTACCTACGTGGAGTACTGAGGCCACCCAAAAATATAGTACACATATACATAAGCATCATTCAATTACTGATTATATCAGAACAATTCTTGACAGATTGCATCCTGTCAGTACCGCTCCACCACGGCGGAGAGCCTACGGTCCTCAGACTATCACGAACGCATTCGACAAGTTTCACATCAAAGCTATCCAAAATTAAATATACCCGTACATTGCCAATCGTTCGCATCGTTCAAGGGCAGAGATTTCTGCTCTTTATGGTCCTCAATACGATACAGCACATGAGGACATGCAAAATTGGTAGGCATAGACTATCAGTTCTTCTTTACCTTTTGCCTAGCGCCGCGGAGTTCGTCACAAACTTCCAGAGAGCATCGAGCCCTTCTGAGAACCACTCCGGCCTTGCTGCGCTTTTAAAGTTTGCAATCTTTGCTGACTCCTTGTCGGAAGATCTCTCAAGCACTTCGTACTGCTCCATTGGGAAGAGAAGTTGCTCCACTAAAGCAGGCTTGTTGCAGAGATTCATAACTCAATAGTGAGACTTATGTGGTAAATGGTATAAACGGATTACTAGATAGGTCTCAACAACGAACGACAGGGAAGGACGAGGACATAAGCCTGAAGCACTTGTGACATACTTTCTAAGGGACTCCTTGCTCAAAAAGTATGCACCCCTTATAATCATATTCGAAAGTAAATGCTTCAGTGAAAAAAACTTGTCAACATTAAGATCATTTTGTAAAAGCTTAAGTTTAACATTAAGTGCTGTGCTAAACTTGATGCACGCTCTTTTACTGACTGAAATTTGTTGGTATCATGGAAACAAGTAATTTTATTCAAGTTTGAAAGCATCTCAATACCTGCCACCGGACTGCTGCCGTCAGAAGATCGATAACAGCTTCAAAAAGGGAGCAGTTGGAAATGGCTGTCTCTTCAGACAACAAATCACCAATCGCGCTACGCATCACCAATTTCTGCAATATCATGGCATTAACTTAGTCAAGTAAGAAGGTGAGGACTACACATGGATGGAGCGAAAAGAAGAGACAAACTGTGGGCTCCTACGCACAAACGTACTAAAGATGAAACAAAAAGAACACTACAACAGTCTCAGTGGATCTATAAGTTTCCCTGCCCCTTATACTATTCCCCCATGCCTCCTAGGAAGCACGGAGATACCTATGCGCGGCACCGCGCTCTCATTTACTCAGGCCCAGCTTTTGGGACTTTAGCAGCACTTTGTCCATGACACGTTCTTCTTATGTGTTTGAAAAGGCACTACTTTTCTGCTCTCATCAAACTCATGCAACTTTTATAGGAGACATATATCGAATGAAATCTTAGATCTAGCGCCCCAAATTTTAAAATTCACACACGGGGAGCTTTACCTAAGTACTTTTTTCTGACACTCCTCTGCGTAAGGAAGGTGATTTCGAGAAAACACGAGACCAGAATGGGATTATAGTCGTGAAGCAAAATTAAATGCGTTTTGGAAAGTCTTATTTCTCAACAACATAAAAAGGGATGCAGTCCTTGTACGGGATGCACAAAAAAAAAACGGACGACCTTAATCCAGCATGCATGAAACCTATCAAGGCTATGCGGTGAACTTGTCGCAGAGGTCTCTCCGTACGTTTGACCTCTGTCAGAGTACTTCCTAAAATCAAATCCTTGCGGTTGCCTACATCTTAAAATCGCTCAGTATTTCTAACCTCTCATACCTCTTAACCTTGTTCGAAACAATTGAATCCAATACCTGATCATTGCTAGATATATAGTTCGCTATACTGAAAGGATGTGTCCGAGACTTTTGAGCGAGAAGGAACAAACTCGTCAGGGCTTTCGCACTGGCGAATTGTAAGTCCTGTAAAAATGGACATTTCTCTGTTAGTTTCTTCGATAGAAGACCTTGCCAGCTCAAAGTGGCTTACTGGACGAAAAATTTGCAGTAGAGTTGATATCAAACTGCACATTTCCCATATTCAATTCATATACTCATAACATTAAAGTTATAGCAAAGAGGAAATCGACATCGAAAGAGTGAGAAGTCTTCATAGAGCGATAACTTTTCTAAGACAGGTAATCATCCGCACAGGGCGATTTGAGTTTGTACCCCATTTCGAGAGAAGCCCAAAAACGATGCGATAGCAGTTACAACAGGCAAAGAACCTGCTGTTTTCCGGAACAAGGTTTGTTCCAACAATGTGGTGCCTCCATACTCCTGCAAGGATAATGCAAGCGTCCATGACCACTGTCAAGAACAGATCTATCACGCTCTTCAATGCGTATCTCATATCTCTATGAGCATGCAAGAACAGAAGTGCAACATGAATGTCCAAACAATGGGTTGAACTTGCAACTGCTGATACATTTAGTAGTTATATACTGACCTTTGAGCAGACACCAGACGAGACATCCAGCACGAGATCGTGAAGTAACATTAAAACGGAAAAGATTGCTTGCTGAAGCCACTCAATTTCTTTCACGCCGACGGCACGGTTATAGTGTAGCTCCTGCGGAAGTCTCAGAGTTAGCATTCTCTTAACGCTCTTCTACGTCAGTGGCTTTTTCAAGCCATTGAAACGCAAAACCTACATACGCTTTGTTTCCGAAGGCAGGTGCACGTAAAAGGAGGAAAGAGCAATACATACAGACCTCCAATTCTTGGGCGTTGACAGAAAGGATACTTATGAGAGCGTCATGGATAATGCAGTCATACAATAGCAGCTCCAAAACTCCTTTTAAGTTTGAGACTTCTTTGGATCGTATGATGCCTGTAAGCACAGTGCGTAAAATGGACAGAACCTGCACGGGGCATCAGCTTGATACTTCCTCATTTTAAAAAAAGAGGTCACACATACCGAACAATTGGTCAATATTTATTCGTGTAGCCATATTTAGGTAGAAACAATAACTCGTTACTGGCTACATATGAAAGATATTTACACAAACTATTAGCGATGCTAAGCTGCAACGGGGTACAAACATCCTTCCAAAAGCGCATGTGATCTACGTAGAGGAGCGATGGATGAGACGGCGAATGTATATATATCTAAAATAATTGTATCCGAGAGAGTTCGAAGTGCAGTAGCGTACTTTGGTGGTTATAATCCATCGCTCGTGCCATTGCTGATACTTCCAGTGACTATGGTTCACAAAGAGATTTCCGACAACATGCAACAACAAAGATGCCAATGAATCTGCGACGACTCCTTTCTCCACCATTGTATTGCAGAAATCCAAAACTGCAAAAGACGTACTACGTGTCAGCATTCCAAAACATAGGGTGACCAAGTAAGCGACGAAGATAAAAAGATGATGCTGGGAATAGCCAAGGATACGCGATCTCATTACAGAAAGACCAATTATTAAAGCCCGGCATGAAACCTCAAAAGTAAGACAGTAAAAAAGCAAAAGAAGTACCTGCTATTGTAAGAGGATACCGACCACAACTTTGTTCTGTCTTCACAATCAACTCATGCAAAAGAGTACCTGGAAAGGCACCGCCATCACTGCGAAAGAGAAAGATGATTCAACATTCGAGAAAAATGTCATGCACTGAGTTAGAAATGATGACATGTAAGAAAATTCTTAATGCCAAAAATGTCTAAGGATATAAATAGAAAAGGGAAAAAAAATGCGTCTTACTCAGCTAATTATCTCTTGATAACACAATCTTTACCGTCATATGCAAAAAAATTCACAAGAGTAGTGAGAAGAGAATACTTTGAGATTGTAAGTAGTTTATCCAGATAACTCATACTCACTGTCATATGACAGTGAGTACTCTACATTACCAACGTAAAGAACAACATGTACGTTATCCCAGCTGTTTTTTAACCTCTTCGTTGAAACTGTAAAACTTTTGAGAGGAAAATGTGATGTATTTTTAAAAACTTTGTTTAAGTTTGTCAAACCTGAAGCTTAGATAACTTCCAGACGGCTGAAGAAGAATGCTCTGACCTAACTCCATCATCACTCGCTCGGGACAGCTGCAGTGCAATTAGAAACACGATTATCGAGATAACAGGAGGTTCCAATTAACAAATGACAAATAGAAGGTTCCATTTCAACTTCCAAAAGTAGAAGGACCATGTGCCCATTTTAGCTGTTTCCGACATGGCCTCCTCTCAGCCCTGTAAAACTACTCAACATTGCAAAGCTTTTGTAGATCGTATAAGTACTTTGAGTACGTGTACGATCTACAAGTACTCATCCGTTATGATTACATATGTACAAGTCAAGTTTGAACCCTTCATAACGCTGGATGCAATGGACAGGTATAGTTGAAGGTAAGCAACAAGCAAGATCCTTATATATGATAAACGGAAGCGTACTAAACCTACTGTGACATGACACCGCAAGCTCGAACAAAGCAAATCAGGAAGACTACATGGGTCTGATTGCTAGAATGTAACGCCAGCAATGAAATTACTTAGTGAATAAGAACCACATGTCAGAAAGTGGAGAAAAGAAAACGCACCATAAAGCGAACGATGTAAGGATTCCAATACAGGATGCAACCATCTTGTCATCTCCAGAATTTTGAACCAAACCATTGATCACACAGCAGATCATGCTTACCACGTCCAGTCTGTACGGAAAACAAAGTGGAAATTTACATATTCTAGATATATTATAAAATAAAACATACGAAAAACTTTCAAGGACAGTTCGTGACCATAAAGCAGACACTTAAGTCTTGCTTCTCCACACTAGGATTCGTTCCGGGCCGTAGAAGGGCCACCACAGGACAAACAGACACAAAGATAACAGCATTCAAGCAGTCGAGGAAACTTCATGTGTATGTGAACTACAACTTTGTGCCACTAATTCGCTAGTCTTAGTGAAGACCAACTACCCTTGAAAAGAGAACAAAATAAAGAGCAAAACGTTCTGCTTCCGTGTTGTTGACATCTTGGTACCTCAAAGAGCTCTCCATTCGTCCATCACGACGAGCACCTACTGTCGCTGAAGCCCCATCCAGATCTAAAAGGAGCTGGGTGAGAACCTGCCCAAAAGTGCGAATCCTCTCGTTCAGAATAACTTCAACATCTTCGAACTTAATCTAAAACAAACAGTTGTTCAAAACAGGATCTCACGTGCTCGTCAATATCGCTTAAGGGGACTGCATGATTACAGTAATTGCATGGTTACCTTATTACATGTCAGCATTCGGTTAATAAGGTCAACGGTCGCCAGAACTTCTTCGAACTGATAACTGACACTGGACCGTTGCAGCATTCGGAGTAGTAGAACAACAATTCCACTGTGCTTACACTGCAAGTGAATGTTCCGAAAACCATTTGACCCTGTTACTTTCATCCTCGCATAAATCTCACGCTTAATGATCACATCAGTGAAAACAGCTTCGACAAAGATCGACACAGAACGAGCGGAGACTTCAAGGGTAACGAGCATATAAGGATGTGAGTAGAAAAGACATGGAAGAATGAATCATCACAAGAAGGTCACTAAGCACAAGTAGGAACCAAAAAGCCATCATGAACGACACCCTTTCGTCCTGAAAGGAGAATAAAAATCAGCAGGAGCGGGGTCGGAAGGGACTACAACCCAAAATGCCATCAAACAAACACGTGCTGCAAGAAACTGGTTGAGTGTAAAACGGGAGAAGACGTTTAGTATTAAACTATGCGCGGTACACGTAGAGTATATGATGAGGATGCAGGTAAAGGAAGAGAGCCTATATAATCCTTGTACTAAAAGCTAACACAAACCAGTTCGAGAAGAAAGGAGAGTAAAACAGTACATATCTGGCCTAGTCAAGTGCACTGTGTGTTAATGCCGATTCGAAATCTTCGAAAAGTCCCTAACATCTGCGGCATAAAACTTTTCTTCCACGTAGATCAGCAAGAGGTAACCAGAATCTCACCTCCCAGCGCACAAGGCAGACACCCCCGTCAAGCTCTCTCAATATGGATCCAGATGAACCAGCTGGTATAAGTAGGCCTGGAGCATCGGGTACTTGCAGAGTCACAGGAGTTTGGACCATAGTTCCACTCTCGTTAGTCAAAGATAGTTCATGACGTTGATATAAACACGTTATGTCAACCATCTTATAGAGAAAGTCGTATCTGCGTCAAGAAACAGAAAACAAAACATCGACATCTCATTTCGGAACGGGCCATGAAAACGATGCACTGTACGAAAATAGGTGTTCAACCTCCAGAAATGAAGAAAGCTCCCAAAGGTTTCAATTGAGACTTACACACATTCTGCTGGCCATGTACCCTCACACTGAGCACCAAGCAGCCGAACGAGAGATGAAGTTTGATACGGGAAAGAATCCCACAGGGAAAATAACAAGCTCCGAATTGGTCCATCGATCACACTGTCCCGATCCCAAAGCTCCAGGCAAAGAGCTTCCTGTTATAAGGTAGCATTCTATATAACTCAGTATGAGTATGTGTCAACGTTTTCAAACAATACAGCATGACAAACAAAGCCTTAACAGTTTACAGCTTAAGAATAATCGATAAAGATTATTCAAGTGGTTTCAAAAGATCACAACCACCCCCTGCTCCAACGAATTCCAGAAGGCAAAACTCTGACCTGACCGCGATAGAGTTCACAAAGTATATCGACGAGAATGTCATGTCCGTCTATTGTCATCTGCAGACAAGGCAATGCTTTCGCTTAGAAAAACCGCTAGTTGCTTGAAAGTATCGATCTCCTGCTAAGCTTATAGACCTAGTCGAACGAGGAGAACTTGAGCCAAATCGAACTTAACTTAGGCCATGAGTCACACTTACCTGACTAGCAAAGTCATAGGCAGCAAGAAAAGCTGCCATAAGGGTCTTGATGACACTTTTGTAGCCGCCTACCTGAATCTGAAATCCCATCAGAAATGTTAGATCCTGTAGATGCACTACTGAAATCCAAGATATGACAAAATCTAATCCTGAACGCAAGAAAACGAACAGTAATGAGAAACTGAAGTCTACCAGACGTGATTCAAAAACGTGAAAGAGTCCAAAGTTCATGATGGCATTTTGTTCATAGTCACAAACATAGAAGAACTAATGAGCAAAAAGTTCAACAGGCTCGCATCTCCTCCCTACATCGAACTCTTGGAAATAGTCATCACGGAGCATGTCCACCAAGAAATTGTAAGCACCAGCATCGTACGCCTGCTTCACATACGCTGTGTGATCCACTTCCTAGAGACATCAGACGAACAATCTCGACCTCAATGGATGTCCGATACTGTTTCACATAAGCTGAAAATGACGTCAGTATAAAAGGACGGGAAAACGCTGTAAGAAGAAACTAAGATTTCATAGGAAGAAGCAGCATTCTTATGTCCTCAAACTTCATAGACATAAGTCTCTTGAGAACAAACAAAAGCGAGGCGGCTAGATATGAACCTAAGCTCGACGACATATACGGTGCAAAGCAAGATGAACAGAATGAGAAGATTCTTTCAAAAGGAAGCTCTATAGACCTGAAACGAACGAGTTGTATACGAGCAACGCAATTGGACTTTTGAGTGTAACAAGACTTTTTACTTTCCTCATCATTCATTTCATCCCATTACTTTGATTCTCAAGGATGTCCATGGTCTTCAGCATTTGACGAGCAAAGGCTCATAACTCAGTTTAACACCATGGCGATGAAAAAAATGACACCTCTTTTCAAAGAGGAAGATGCGGAGGAAACATTTAAAAAGTCGGATTAGCCACTTACAGATAGGCCTGTCTGTCCGTCATTAAGGGGAAGAAATGAGACGAGGCACAGGAATATGGCCCAACTCAGCAAAACAGGGCTATACTCAGGAGCTCGGTCCAAATCCAACCCAGCCATTACTGCATCCAGCTGTAGCAACTCGTCTACTGACAAGGCACATCCACCTTGACTGTACATCGAAGGCAGCGAAGAAAGTTAAAAGTTATGGCGTTTCATGTAGTGTACAGATGGGTAGAAGTGCAAGTTGAGTATCAGTTGAAAAATCACAAGGACGTCTTGACTCTAGGTATATGGAAGTTGCCTGACCTGAAGGGGGTTTCACTATGCAACATTAGCAGCAAACTTTCAAGATCCAACACTTCTATAATGATGAGCACGGCTTGACGTCTGGCATGTCTCACAGACTTCTCAACTTCCGGAGTCAACGCTAAGATTTCATTCTTGCTTCCCCCGACAGTTAAACCCTGCAAATGTGCACGTCAATGTTAAATGTACAATGTCGTCCCTAACACTTTCGCAATCAAATTCGATTATTTAAACAGTTTCAGCAACCCTTTTAACACAGAGGTATCTAGGAAATCGAAAGAAGAATCTAGCAATCATTAAGTCCAAGGAAAACTCTTGGTTCCCGTACACCAATGACTCGTAATGATTCAATGATGGTTGTCCCAACGATTATACAGATAGTGCTGAAAACGGAAAAAAATAAGTACGTATCACCACATTAATCTATTGTCGAGAAGAACTAAACAAAGCAAATAGTACTCGGACTTGTACAGCAATCAACCCGCGTAGCATAGAGAAGAATCCAGAGTCCAACCTCGAACAGAATAATCAACTCCTTCAACCGTGTAAACTTGCATACACAAAGTGGCTCGTAATACAAAAGAAACACATTGTCGAGCAAAAGAGTTTGCTCCAAAGCTGCTTCTTCCGCCCATAAATCAGCGTATTGACGATCCTAAAAGGACATCACATACGTTGCACATCAAAAGCCAGTCACATTATGACGGCAATAACGTATCGTAGGATATAGAACATTGACGTCCCTTACGAGACATCATTCAGAGAAAGCACAGAATAAATCAAAAAATTAAAGGCTAGTCTGATCGAACTCACCGGCACCAACATCAAGGCCTAAATACGGGAAAAAAAAATTACAGTCTGCATACCAGATGCTGAGGTTGCGCCGAAGAGAGAGAGTCTTTGAGAGATTCTAACAGTTTATCCTCTAATCCATCCTCCAACAATTTCTTGACTTCGTCAGATATTGCTTGCGATAGCCTTGCCGAAGAATCTTCTTCAGCCACTGCCCGAAACATAATGTATTTACTGTGAGTTCATAGATCTTGAGTGGGACGATAGGAAACAAACAAATACGTGAAATACTAAAATAGTGCAAAGCTGAAGATGAGACTACAAGTTGGGGGCTTACTTTGGCATGTCAAAAGAAGGCGTAAACTTTTTAACAAGCTTTGCTTCTCCATGTAGAAACTCATTACAATCTGCCAGTTAGCACAAAGGCCAAGTGAGCACAAGTGAATAAACTCAACCAAGACTTGAAGGATCTTGGTTTTGGAAATTGAATTGAGATACTTCTTCTCCGTCTTGACAGGAAACCTTTGAAAGCTGAATAAGGAAAGGAATCATAGCAAAGACGCTATGTTCCCACTTCATGTAAGGTCATAGTACTCACAGATGAAAGAAGCACACTCTCATCCGGTGGACTACATACAACTCTTGATTCACATAACCTGTTCGATAGTATGTAGGCTTGAATTTCATCTAATACCTGCAAAATTTGCACCAACAGTACGAAGCCTTAAATGTCAAGCCTAGAAATGGCAAGTCAAGGGACCCCAGAGACAAAATGCCTTCTTTCGACCATGACCAGGAAAAAGCAGCATATACTTCAGACACGAAAATACACACACGATGCCATCAAGTAATCAGAAAATGGCTTTCAGATTAGTCAAACAATATTGTAAAGGATCAACGGCAAGACTGACCAGGATCGTGCTCACTCGAAGAGCCAGATCTCGTGTATGTGCTTTTATCTCCAATATACATTTGCCCACAGCTACTCGGGGGGAATTAAGAGCAGCTTTCGAGGATACACTCGGGGGCTTGAAACGTCTGAATAGCTGAAGCAGCCACCGGTGACTATTCTTCAGCTTTTCGGCCTGAAGAAAGAAAATCCATACAAGACCTGTTAACTTGGGGCGTAACAGATAAAGATAAACCATCTTTCTAGTCCTGTTAGAATAAAATCACATGTCCGAGGCAGATGGTAAAAGGTACATGTGCAAAGTAGGTAGGATAAACAATCTGTAGTCTACTAGGTCCTCGACGTGAGCTCCTGAATTTCTGTTCAGTGTATAGGCAGAATCAGAATAGAGTTTTCCTTCAAGCTTTCTAAAGTATTAGAAAACCTTGACGAACGTCCAATTCAGAAAATTCTCAGTCACTTCCAAATTCAAGAGAACGAGCTACCCCTTGCAGCTGCGAGCATACGTGACCGCAGCTCTCCACTTCCGAGCGCGAGACTTTCAAAAAATGTATGAGCATTATGAAGCTTAAAAAAAAAAAAATCCTTGGACAATTGCACAAACCAGGATAGTGTCTTTGCCAAATTGCTGCTCTGTGTCATAGTCCGAGATATCACGTCTGCTCCTGTCTGAAAACTGCCCTCCATCACTAGAAATACTCTTGTCCAGTAGCTGGAACAGCTGTGTATGAGATTCCCACCAGAGGTCTTCATCAGCTTTGAAGACAGATGCTTCCTCGATGGCTGCAGCCACACTCGCCATGCTGGCTCCTCTCACCTGCACAAATTTCTACACTTTCTGCAGTATTCGGGGCCAGTGTATCAATTCCGCTGATGCACATGCACGTCGCGTCATGCTCTTTCCTTCACAATACCTACAGCTCATTTAGCCAGTAGAACTTGCAGAGGAAAATTGAACGTCTCGATACTCAAATCTTTCGCCACGGAGATGCCGGATCAGTGGACAGGATCAAAGTTGACAGCATTGAAAAGACTGCAGTTCAAATTTGAGCTTCTTTATGTGGAAACCTCCGTTCCACTCCTCGTCTCAAGAGACAGTTCTGCGATTCGACTTGAAAGTGGGCGGGGAACTTGTTCTCTAGCTCTAGTTCCGTAATCGGTGGTCAGCTTGACGTTCGTGATGCAAAGGCGGAAGCTCCTGCTAAAAACAAAGATTATGAAAGGAGCAGCTAAAGACCCCGACAAGGAATTCCTACATGCAGTACCGAATCTACGCCCTCAGTCAATCTCTTGCCATTGACAGTAGCCCAAAGTAATTCATTCCATCTCCTACATCTAACAATGATTAGTGAAAGAGGAGAAAAGCACACTACAGCCAACTGCAGAGAATAAAGTAATTCGTGAATAAATTCGACTCGCTGCTTTTGAATCTCCTTTTACTGCATAATACATTGATATTCACCCATTACAATACATAAGTCAGTTAAAATTGATTTGGAATGATGTATACATGCAAACCTATGTCTGTCTTGTTAATCATGGTGAGACTACGTCAATTATTTGTCGGAATCGAGGATTTATGCACTGGACTTTCAATTTCACAGAATTGATCTAGGTAGGTATTGAGAGTATGTGTGCAACTCCCAATAAGTAGATTTATGTATTTGGAACGAGTGAAAACTTTAATTACTGTACGTGAATTTATATGATTGGTTTACGGCGTATATCCAGTGTTAGTATTCATGTGCTTGCTGAAATCAACATAGATGACAACAATTAGTATCATAGGTTGACAACTAATTCGAGTTTCGATAATCTCGTGAAAGTGATTGATAAATCATTCATAAATCAAAACTGCAAGTGCAGACGATATAAGACACTTTGGGATTATAGATCAAATATTTCGGAAAGCATTGGTGGGACGAGAAAAGGATAAATCACTATTCTCCACTACATGCTTTTTCATAAATGTTGTTTTTTAAAAAACATATACTTGCACGACAGTAAGATCACCAATTTTTCAAAATTGGAAAAAAATTGGATTTTCAAAATTTATGAAAATCCCAAAGTCGGGCAAGAAAAATATCACCAATCGCATATCACAAGTTTTGAAAATATTTTAGTTGGACAAGAAGGGGAAAAATAAGATATCATATTTTTTACCAAGTATGAACTGATGGGGAGTGTTTGATCTTAAAAAAAAAAACTTCAAAAAACTTCAAAATCATATGGATCTTGAATCTTCAGATATTGATTTGAGAAATTGGTTATGCCCAATTAGTGGGTTTCATATATTGTGTATCATAATTTTTAAATGTTGACTTGAAATAGTAGATTTTTGAAAGAAGTGTATCTTATAGTTTTTAGACCAATCACTTTCGCTAATTGATGGTTTTGTAATAGCAAATATCCTAAAATCTGAGATTCTGACCGTGACTTAAATCGTGAACGAGTTCCCAAGAATGATTTGTAATATTGGAACTATGACCATGACCGAGCAGCAAAATACAACTCCTTGTAACATGGAGTTTCTCCGGACGATGAACAATAATTTCATACTCCATGTCATATCTTTAACAGTTTATTTCGAACATGAACAGCTGGGCAACGAAGAAATCAATTATTTGGATTAAACTGCGCGCTAAATCAGCATGTGTGGAATGCTAACACATTGATGAAATGGTTACATTCATTAAAGAAATAAATTTAAATAAATATTTCAAACAAATATTGTCAAGTCAAAACATATAAAATAATCACACACTATAATCTATGTCATATTCATCTAGATTATTTATTGTAAACTTAATTCTCTTGTTCAGTCCAAAATTTGTAAACAAACTTCCGGCTAAATTTTTTTAATTTATAAGTTCCAAATAAGATTGTAGGTTTTATTAATGTTAGCTACTTTAACCAAACATAATGTAAATCTTGATTTTGATTTCATATGCAACTCTCAAAAAACTTCATACAAAATGAAGAAACAAAAATTATTAATAAATTTGTTTAAATAAATGTTTGGAAAAGATTATAATTATTAAATATATAATCAAAATTTTAAAAAAATTAAAAAAACATAAATTTTTGGACTATCATGTAAAAAATTAAAATTTGATTGGCCAATACATCCTTGCAACTCAATGATTTATTGTCAACCCAGTTCAGATGAACCTCACTTTTACATTATGACCACTTCTACATACCTTAAACTTTCATCTAAATCAAATTTGAACAAATTCTACACCTAAACTTCTGAATGTTATTTATAATTTATAAACATTATAATAATTTTTCTACGTATATTCTTTATATCTATATTTTTATGTGAGTTTTATCAAAGTATCAAATCTTCTATAGTTTCAAATATACTCTTTTGATCAATCTCACATGTGCTAAGTACTAACATTTATTGATAACATATAACAATATATCTCATGTCAAAGACAAATGTACTTTAGGCTCTACAGGTATGTCATATCCAAATTCACTATGTCTTATACAGTATTAGATAGAAGTATCATTAAAACTCGCATTTTGTATGTAACATCTTTCATTTAATTTGTTTTCACGAAGATAAGCAAGAAGTTATAGGTATCAAGTGTATAACAGGTTCCAAGTGATGTAGTAAAAGAATTGGAAAGTGTGTAAGATCTACGCTGACTTTCACTCAGGTTTATCTGAAATTGTTTTTTGGCAATTCATCATGGTTCTAAAAGAGAAGCATTACTCAACATGTACGTGTTCCAAACATACTCTTACATAATCTGTCAAGTCATCGACACTTCAAGATGATAGTGAAACTCAAATTTTGTTTAATGAAACAAATTCTCACACAATGAACTTTTCAAACTTGCTTCAAAAAATATTTTCTAACTCAATATTTATATTACTTCAAAATTTAACTCAATAATCTATGGTAATGTTCATCTAACTTACTTTTATTAAGAGATATCTTGGTATGTTTGAATAATTTTCATCATTTGATAACATATCATTAACATACCTGAACATTTTAAAAACTTATTTCTTCTTGGATTGAGGCAACATGATGTTATTTGAGACCTTCAAAGATGCAGAATTTCCATTTGTCACTGAGTCAATTTTAAATATAATATAATCAATAAATTTTCTATTACATAATAAAACCACTCAAAACTAACATGTATTCAAAGTCTTAAATCATTGAAATTTATAATCTGATATAATATGAAGTAGTAATATTCAATCAAATCTCTTAAATTTATCATATTTTTTTCCAAGTATAGACATTTCACCTAAATTTAGTCATAATTGATTAGTTTTGCACAATCAATTTTACTATTACTTTAAACACAAATAAAACAGCTCATCTTGAGATTTCTACGTCTTCTTAACTTGTAATGCTTTAATGATTTGTTCATCTTTCTTTGTTATTTGCATGATCTACTCCAATAAGTTGAAATTTTCACTTGTACAACATATTTAAAACAAATCAAGAGTGCGAGATAATATGTAAGTTGCTTGTTAATATCACATACATTGTTTTCATATTGAAGTGTTTACGTCATTATGTACATCAAATTTGTTGTTTAAGCATATCATTACGACGTTTCAAAGATTTATGATATATTTCTAACACAAACTTCTTACCACTTGGGCAATGTTTTGTTTTGAACACTATGGCTATTTACTTTCATTTTGTTCCTTAATACTTTTGTTCTTTGCATATATTTGAAATTTTGAATCCCAAATGCTCATTAAATTTTGTCAAATTTGAATAATTCAATTGTTCTAACTAAATTTTGATTTTGATAATTCTAAGTTATTCTTCACATTTCAACATATCATAACATAAGATGCATCATAATCTTTTGCTAGTAAATGTGTAACAATAATATATAAATTAAAAAAATAATAAATTATAATATTCATATAAAAAAATTTTGATTATCAAAATCATAATTTATAACTAAATCAGATCTAGATTTAGTGTACTCCCTCAAAATTGTACTATATAATCAAATCATTAAAAAAACAATATACAATCAAATTTTACTAATGAGATGAAATTTTGATTTCGAAAAATAATTCTATTCATTTATCTTCTTAAATATTTTATTTAATTCAAAAAATACATAGAGTTTATAACAAATTGATAATTTTAAATTGCAAAATTTTGTCATACAAAAATAAATGTAGTCAATTTTTATTTTTATTATAAGTTAACTCTTGAAATTTTACATATGTCAAAATGATTCATACACAAATTAAATTTCAAAGTTCATTTATAATTATATTTAGAATAATATTTTGTATATATTTTTTTAAGATATATGATTGTCAAATCACAATTGTAAACAAGCTAGTGCAAGCTTATTATTAAACAGTTTATACAATTCAATTTCATCTTTGTTATAATGGATGTAAAAAAGTTGTCCGATAGTTTATGCATGAGCTGATAGTTATTTGTTTATCGTCAAAACTTTGAAAATCATCTTGCATGTTAAAGATTTGATAGAATAGTCATTTAAATTCATGAATTGAGATCATAGAGTTTGCCAATAGCATGAATAGTCAAAAATATAATTTTTGAAATTACATTGTTTTAATTTAATATAAATCTTCATTTTGATATTCAAAATAACTTGCACGGTGGAAAATATTATACTATTATAAAATACTATCAAATCATATTGGCATTTATTTTGTTTAATTGAATAAAAAAATATGAAAATACAAGATATATTTTCCACTTTTTTACACTATTTCAGCATAATTTATACATTAAAGGAAGTAATAATTCAGAAAATTGTCAATTTATAAAATAAAACATATATTGATGCTAGATTTGGAATTCATCGATAGGAATTATCACTCACAATGTGAAGTTTCGAGTCTAATTTCTCAATAATGACATATGCTTATGCTAAGATTACACTTCATTATTGAAAGCTATCATTCACAAAAGTTAAGTGCGTAAACTTTTTGTCAAATATTTCAATTGTGCTAAAAAAATCCAAATATGAATTATTGGCTACAAGATTGACTTCGTCAACAATTATGTATTATTCATGTCGAGTATTGAGTTTGAATACAAATACATGAATAAAGATCACAGTCAAACAATCAATGACATTATATGTATCAATGTATTTTAATTAAGTATAGAAATAGAAAACTGTTGAGATAGACATTTAAATATACATGTGCCACATTATTATTTTTAAGACCTATGTATTGTGATCATGATAATAATATTATCTACAAAATTACACTTGGAATTGTCATTATTAGATAAGGTAATGTCATTATTGTAGTTAGTGATATACGATATACACTTGCTTAAATCTGTATCCATATAAGTTTGCATTTTGCATTTTTAACATGAAATTTCAATTATCAAAGTTATCAAGATTTAACATCTGCAAAAATAAAACATGATCACTTTGTGGCTGTTTTCAACCCATTTGTGAACAAGAACAGATCTACCGTGTTGTAGAACATAATGAAGGATAGCGATATACCTTAGACTGATTAGGTAGCTCCGATCACAAGTAATGGAAACATTAGAGCTCACTCATTTCAAACTCAAGCTTGATAACACTCAACATTTTATGTGAAATCATATCACGCTGATTCATATCATGCTCGTCGTGGCCAGATTCAGGTTCACATTCTATACTTTTGAAGTCAATAATTGGATCCAAAACAATGACATTCATTGACTTTTTTATTTACTTATGCACATTTTTTTGATACATATGCGAATTCTTGTTGTCATCATTCAAACACTTGTCAATCTGACTCATAACATCGGTTTGACTAGGTACAACGAGAAATTATAGCTGCTTAAAAGTTTAACAATGTCATCGATAGTGTCATTATCCCTGTCAATGCCGAGAAAAAGTCTACTTTTTAAAAATAGTTTTCAAGACTATCAATAAAGATGTAGTTTAAAGCTACATTTACAAAGTTTGCAGCATCAAACAAATGTGGAGACCTTTCGTTGCCAAATACAAGAAAAATATATGCATTTTAAAAGTACTTTTCAAGACAATAAATGGAATTGTTGTTTCAAACAACATCTACAAAGTTTGCAACATCAAAAAAATTTGGTGACCTTCCGTAAGCAATCTTTTGAGTTTCAAAGTTACTAATGCAAGTTAATATTTAAATCATCTTATATTATCATAATATGCAATAATATATTTTAGCAGAAGATATTTATATGACTTTTTTACGGCTGCGATGATACACATATCTATTGATTACATTAGACTGAAAAAATACAACACTAATGCCATTGCGCTCATAAGCAATAGTGTGACCCGTATTGTTGTCAAAGAACAACAACACTTTGTGTTTGATCTGTTGATGAACATAAGGCTCAAAGATCTCATCAAATCAATTAATAAATGTCAGTACATCCATTCAAGAGTTTTTTGATAAAAAAAGAATAAATTATCAAGTGTTTATTGTTGGCATGTTGTTTTGCCATTTCAATAATTGATATTGGCATTAGTTTTGTTTCAACGGCGTTCAAGCACCACAAATGTCAAACTGTCTTTTGTGGGTTTTTTGCCCTTGATAGTGGTTAACTCTTCATCAGTCATCATGAAACAAATAGGAAGAACAATCTAGTTTAGTCCATGTTGTAAACTCATTCAATATCATATTGAAAAATTAGGTTTACAAGTATTTCAAATCTTTTAATGTTTATGTATTGTTTTTTTAAAATCACAATCTTCTTTAAACAAATTTACTTAGTCTATATTGTGTCTATGTTGAATTCTTGCAATTTACACAATGACTTGAATTTATCATCAACAATCTAGATTGTGGTCTTAATATGTTTTGTTTTGTTACAGATAATAATCTGATCTTAATATGTTTTGTTTTGTGACAAATAATAATGTGGTCTTAATATGATTTGTTTTGTGACAAATAATAATGTGAGTCAAAACAAATGAAGCTTGCATTCCTGCATCAAGCCATTGAAGAAGCTTCTTCATAACATAAGGAAACATGAATCCGCAATGACAAAATGGGTTTATCTTTCAATTAATTTTTTTTCATTGATACAATATTATTGAACAATTTTGTTTATGAATGGTGGCTTTGAGTATTCTAGTAGTTTGATTATTTCAATACTATGATGTTGGTCATTCAAACACTAAACTTTGTCTTGACGCGTAGAATTTCACTACGACTTCATTACAATATATGATATGAACTAACCGATGATGGTGGTCATTCAAACACTAACCTTTGTCTTTACGCGTAGAATTTGTAGAATTTCACTACGACCTCATTACAATATATGAAATGAACTAACCATGACATCTTCAAGATATAAATACTCTTTGGCTAACCCCCTAATATTACTAAAATCACATTAGACTTTGCATATCGAAGTTAATATTTCTAATGTACACTCTACTACTAGTATAGGGCAGATTTACTAGTTGCAATCTACTGTTTCTTGGATTTAATGCCAATGTGTGGAAGAATGTCATTCATGGCTTTTAATACTATTGGGAGGGAGGTTAAACTTTGTATATTGGATTACCTTGTACATATTGCATAAGACACGTAATCGTCATAGTTGACAAATATCTTCATACATTACTTCATTTCAAATTTTTTTTATTGTTTTTATCAATAATTTTTAATTTTAAATAACACTATTAAAATTTCAGTTAGAGTTTTTTTAAAACAGTCATCTCAATGATAACGAAATAATGAGTTGGTTGATATTTTGGTTGGTTATTGACAGTGTAATTACAACGAGTTACTTGTCTTTACGAGATAATTGATGAACTAATTCACATTATATTTAAATTCAGTGACTTGAAAAATAATCTCTACTGTGAGAATGTATAATAAATTTCAACGAATACTGCTTAGATTTCAGCAAAATATCGATGTCATTTCCACTTTCTCGCTCAGATATACTGTTTCTATGTTGGTTCTCTTGGAAACTTTCATGGATATGTACAATCACAGAAGGAATCAAGAGAGTTATTTACATTGGAAATATACACAACTTTCTTAATCCATTTCATAGTGAATCAATTTCAAGTACATTACGAGAAGAAAGAAGAGTCAGATATCCAATAACTGTATAAATGTACCCCGCTTATTACATAAACGAGTGGATAAATACATTACTGGGAGAAGTCCAATCTTCGCAAAATGTTGGTTTCTTCACGTTTAGGTTATTTCACCCCTCGTGTAGACGGTTCAATGCATCTCCTGTGTTACATAGAAATGGAGCACGAGTCGTACAGAGATGATATTTATATACTGTTAGTCCAAGTCTCAGCACGAATTCCATCTTGGTGGTCTTATATATCAAGCAGAAATTTGCGGTAAACATGGGACGAAATGCTAGCGACTTGTATTCCTCGATAGACTCACCTGCGAATTGTGTTCCTCACCGTTCCTCAACCTGACATGCACTCCACACGAACTACTTCTTCCATTAGAGGTATACTGAAACTTCGATGACTATCGCAACAAGCACTTCGACAGCACTGAACGTATTTTCCGCGGAATTTTGTGTGACATGGGTTCTTGACTCAAAGCTGGGCTAACTCGAAAGCCAATGCCTGGTAACAGTCTTAGATTGTGTCTATATGGACCGTGTCTAGGACATATGATCTGACAGTAATCGCATCCAACAAATCTGGCGGTCATGGGCGTCGGTTTTCTGTTGTGATGTCTAAAAGATGCCTCTAAAGGACTTTGCTCCGGGGCCAACGAAACTGGTAACACCTTTACCATTTTGGAAATCTAGTCATACTGGTGGTATCAGCTGCAAAAAAAATACCAGTTCGCCAACAGCAAGTAAGAAACGTTCGTCTTGATCGTTCCTCTTTCGTCCATCCAACGGGTGACCAACATTCGCATCCCCATAACACAAAGTTTCCGCATCCTGAGCTGGATCGGTTTAGGAGTGGCAACGATTCTGCGATCCCACAACAAGACAATCCTACAGGGGAAAACTCCAACGCACTAAATGTGTACATATTTACAAAAGACGTATTTACGCGGAATGTATCTGCATCACACCAAACGAATCCTGCATCACAAATTATGTGTGCAACTGCAAACTGACGTTACAACCGCGACCTAATAAGAACCAGGCATTCTCAAACAAAGCCCAGTCATGTAAAAAACCTGATGTTATCTTCCCACTCGAAAGTAATTGATGACCTTTATATCACAAGCAAAGAACATGACCTGATAAACACTCAAATCAACAAGGGGACCTTGCCGATTTCCTTACCACTTGCAGTTTGTGTTACATGTGCATAGTTCTTGAAGGCCCCACTGCCTCTCTGTTTCATTCCTCACAAAAAAAATTGTGACCAAGAGTAAAGCTGTATCCGGAGACGGCCCTCCTATGACGCCTGACAGGAAAGTAGAGAAAGCACAGAGAGAAATAACCCTACCTACATCACTACAACTACTCCATGCTGATTGATGGGAATCCACTAGCACCAACTTTGCCGATATCGACTGATATTCCCGCTCTAGACAAGACAAAGGTAAGGAGATGAATGGAGTGCCAAGCCCACCAATCCTGGCTGAATTTGTCAAAAGGCACCGGTATGCTTGGTTGACAGGGCCGGAAAAAAAAAACAAATGAGAGCATGAGCTTGGCTCTCAACAGGGGCAGTAACCATAGACTTCCAACACCCTTAACAAGTAGCCAGCTCGTGTGCTCCAATGAAAGATTGAGACAGCTACAGCTAGTCAGTGCTTTCTACAACCTGTGGATCTCCAGGTCCCCATAAAGATTACAAAGTTTCTACATGCAATACCCTCTCCCTCTCTCTCTCTCTCGCTCTCTCCCTCTCTCTCTCTCTCTCTCTCTTTCTCTCTCTCTCCAAATTTTCCTATAACTGATCTTCCTTAGCCACAGACTGGTCATAGTCACTACGCCAATAATTAACATCATTAAAACTTGGATTACCGACCAATTCCTTCGTCCTGGGATCAAAATTATTGTCCTCGAGAATTTCGTGGGGCAGAATTGGTGCCGCCTCTCCCACAATTCCTTCCTTCAAAGCTTTCTCCATGGCTTTTGCAGTTCCATCTGCCTCGACTCCAATAACTGGTCTACCGCCAAACAACGGCATCTGCACTTCATCATCAACATGATTCTCTTCTACTATTTTCGCATCTGAAGGAACACCCAAGGACGCTGAATTGCTCGTGGGCTCATCATCAGTCTCTGGGAGAGATACCAACTTCGCTTCAGCTGCGCCAGGCTCTGAAGCAGCAGTCTCAGTTTCCAATAAGGTCTTTTCTCCAACCATGTCCCGTCCTGACGTTCCTTCGAGAGCAGAGTTTTGTCGTAAACCTTCCCAGTCCACATTCCCTTCTCCACGCTCACTAGAGAATAAGTTGTCTGACAAGCCAAATTTTTCCAGCTCAGATATATCTTCTACGGAGGTGATAGTTGACTCTCTCAAATCTACCTCATCGTGCCCAGTCCCATTTTCGCGACGTGCCTCGAAACTAGGCCCGACAGTGGCTGGTGCATTTGCAGAAGTCGCAGTGTCAACAAGATCCTCGCCCTCTCCAACAATCACCTCATCATCGCTGCTACTTCCACCACTGTTATTTGGGGGCGACGCTGCATTAGTGACTTGCTCATCTTCAACCCTCTGAGATGGTGGAGATATCAAAAAGTTGGGCAAAGGTTGTTGAGACCTATTGTCATCTTGAAACGCAAACCAGTTTTTGTTGCCGAACATGCCGTCCTTAGAGCGAGCACTGCAGAAAAAAGCATTGCATGTTCAATTCCGAGGGCACAACAAGCTAAAATTACTTTTTTTAATGTTAGATTGGAAACATTGGACGAGCTTCAACCGGCCAAATACCTGTCCTGTTCTTCTAGTCGCAGCGACGAGATTACAACTTCAGCCGATTCGTCGTCGAAATAGGCATCCTGAGATACGACGATATCTTAGATACTTCCGAGGAACAAGCTACTTATCCAGGATTACAATTTCAGAAAAACAAAAAGCTGATCAAATGTTAATGAAAGAAGATAAGGAGAAAACTGGATGCATGTGTGATATTCACCTCATCATCTCTTTCGAGTGAACCATGGCCCTGGAGACATTTCACGAGTAGAATGTAAAATACCTTCATGTCTCTTTCCACATACAATAATAAACGCTTCTCATACAGATCTGAAAACTATGGAGACAAGACAAAACTGGACGAACGACAGTGTTATGAAGAGCCACTATACCTCTTCGACATCTTCATTGTCAAACATTCCATAGCGATAGACTTCCCCGGTTAAATTTCTTGCCATGGTTGAAATGTCATAATCTCTATCGCGAAAAGTATCTCTATCATCCTCATCACTGTCCACCGGGCGTTCCGGTTGGGGAGATGGTCGCCTGCATAAGGCGGACAAAAACACTCCCTGAGATGATACCAGTGTAATAAATTTACAGAGACGAGCTGCGGCGTTTTACGCATATACCCGGTATACGTCTGAACAAACGCAACAACACCGTGAGTTTGTCCAACATTCTAACTACTGCTTTCAACTAGCTTCGAACTGAAAAGCAAAAATTCACACTAGATATCTGATATTCCTACACGAAATGGGAGTTAGTGAAGGATATAGGTTACGATCTACGTGGGTGAGCAACCTTCTATGTGAAAAATTCTAAATCATTTGTCCGAAATTTCTGAAGATCAGGCAAGATCAAGAGCACTACTGAATAAGTCTTACCCGCACGTCCATTGCTGAACATTCTCTAACATGTTTCGGTTTAGAAGAACAGTTGACTGCCACTCATTCCATCTTGGATTAGCCTGACAATGGTCCACATCCATTTCAGCACCAAATTTTCCAGAATATTGAATAATTCCATCATTCCATGAAATTCTTGTGAATTTCAGCGTTAAGGTAAAAAAGTACAGAGTATCCACAAGTAGTACCTGGAGGTGATTTTGAATAAGTGGATTGTTGTTTCCGGCGTGAGCTATTTTGTTGGCAAGCCTTGTCAGGTGTCCCATGTTGCCTATCCTTGGAGGTGTTCTACTGATGGCCCTCGGCTACTCACATCCAAAAACGAAGTCAATGGAATTTCGTCAACTGACAACTGACAACAACTAACAAGGTTAACATCTTGCAGATCGGCATTGTTGAAACTGTCGTTAAGATAAAGATGTGTAACAACTTAGAAACTTCAACGGTGAATGAGGATGGCCCAGTTTCAGATTTCAACGAAAGACAGTAACCTTGCGTGGCAAATACTAAATGATGCTTGCCAAGAAATGTGATACACAAAACAACATGAAGAACAGTATTTTTTTACAACAGCTTTGCGTTTTCCTCTTGCTTCACTAAGCTAACAATGTGCTTATAATTTTGCTAAGATGTTGTAAAATTGTCTCCCGAGTATACGCTCTTACATTCTAGAAGCAAAAACAAAGAACCAACTAAAAAACAGAATGAAAGTTGACTGAGAACAGTTACATATACAGGAAAAAATGCTCATTCTACAACACACATTAACTATTAGGGAACCAAGAATACTCAGTAGCACGAGTTCAACCACCTCTGTTCTGGTGTCCGGTGCGTAAGGGTTCTCATCTGCTGCGACAAGTCTGGAGATAAAATCACAATCTTTGAAGAGGTGGTCAATAAGCGCTTGGCTATTGCTCTCAATGCAAGAAGTTAATATGCTTTCGACATGATGGTGCAACATATTGTTGAACGGATAACTGCATTCACAATACAATGCACAAACACAATGAATTAGAATATATGTATACAAACACAGGTAATCGAAAAATCCCACACACTCAAAACGTAAGGTGGATTGAAATCATGAAAATATCTCTCTTCAGCAACATATGGTGCACCGGTTGTGGTAATGATTAAATGGAAGAGAGAAGGGTATCATAAGATGCAACCTACTTCACTATGGTAGTGCAACCACCAGCGATAAGCTATAGAAACACGTACGACGTGGTGGGAACTTCAACCCACCTTTCCATCAAAAGTTACATCCTAGGGCATTCTTCTTCACTGAATTAGTATATCCAGACTAATCCAGTGATATTCGACTGATGTGATGTTCACGTGAAGAATAGAGAATCACGAAATACAGGGATGGAAAATAGAAATGTGTGAAAAAGTTGACCTTTACGACCAATCGACCATGGTATCATAAAATCACTTCTCTGACTGACTTGTGAGAAAAGAAACCCGCGAACATGCCTTTCGTAGAGAGTACTTACTCAAAAAATAGATTCAATATGATTTGAATAGCCCCTAGCCGAACGAGTTCTTGTCTGGCGCCTTCACTGTTCGTTCGCAGTAGAACGGCAATGAACTCCACAATCTGAAAGTTCAAATATACCACGGTGAACTTTGAGACTTTAAGACTAACACTGTTGCGACTTGATACAATTTAGCATGACAATCTGCAAGTTATCAGTACGAGCGGTAGCTGTAAGATGTTAAAAGGCATTCTCAGACAATGAACTATATCATTGCAACATAGGGCGAACGTGGTCAGTGGTAAAAGCTCAACACCTTGGACAGCGTACATACATTGAAGCAACAGCTGAAGGGATTCACACCGAAAACAATCACAAATTATCTTTAAATAAATCCGCAAAAATGATAATCGAAGTAATCGCTGGAATTGTTTTAACTACGTTGATCTGGATGGGAAGAAAAAGTTGTTGGAGTTATTGAGGTACTCGCGATATTTAAGGCCTGTACAATACATATCTACTTTCATTGAGAGAAAACTTCTCGTAGAGAGCTTGATATCTACCTTCAATCGGTGGATGCCTAAAGGTGGCCTCAAATGTCCATAAGTCGTCGGTAAGACATTCTCATCAGATGAGACATCCAGGATGTTCAGCAGATCACCTTCAGATAAGAAAGAATCTCTGTGAGTACTAGACGCAATGTAGTGGTTACGTGCTTCATTTACCGCGTTGTCTTGATTCATAAGAAGAAAATATAAGAAGAAAATAGAAATCACAATGTCTTATCATAGAACACTCTAGACCTTCAAACAGATAAACAGCTACTTCCTTTGCTACTGGGACAATGCATGTACAGCGTGCATTTGGGACTATTGGATTATTAAAAGTTAGAGTTCGTGGTCTCTACGCTGAAAACACAATGCTTACAAGTTTATACCACCTGGCACAGGTCCTTACCGAGCCGTTGCAGCATGCCTTCTACGGTCTCGGGGTTCGCAGTAGGAACAGGCTCTGCTGGATGCTGACCTCGCGCTGCAGCTACAGAGGCTGCCCTCTTCGGGTCCAGTAAAGATATACAAACCGACAGCGAATGAATAAGAGTGGACTTCGAGCTTGGATCCTCGAGGACATGGTTGAAGAGTCTGGCGACAAACCTGCATCACATATGAACAACAGTAAGAGTTTCTGCGGTGAAACAGAGCCAACTTGAGTCTATTGAGATCTCCTAAACTGTCTAAATCAGCCTTTAACAAAAGAACTAGACATGCAGTGCGTTCGATATAAAGGTAAAAGATCAACGTCAAATCACGAACATTGGACTGGCTAGCTTGGAGGCAAGCGCTGATGGAGCAATTCGCGTAACTGCCGATAAAGTCTCTGCAGCATTGGCGTGTACTTCTGAAGAATGCTACACACCAAAAAAACAAAAAAAAAACAAAAAAATCAACTTTCCTCCCAACGCGCAAACAACCGTGATTGATTCAGAACAGTTGGCAACCCAAACCTTTTCAAAAGAAATACTGGTAATCACAGAGCATTCTGCGTATATCAATATCTGTCCTTCCTCTCAAACTAGAGATCGAGATGGCTGCATACTTCAAAAAAAATCGAAATTTAAACTGCTATCGACTTCTTACCGGAGGGCTAAGTTTATCCACGAGCATTTCTAGCAAGTCTGTATCCGCCAGCCATTGCAGCGCTTCAGCATGAAAGGCATAAATATGCTCATCGGCTCCAACAAGCCTCACGAGTACCTGGGAAAAAGAATATCACACGCAGAACGATAAATTCTGTTAGGCCAATTATCCACAAAAAAATAATTCCGACACTGGCAAAAACATTCAACATTAAGCATAACAAGTAAGGCAGTTTGGATCCGTTCAGTGATGTCAAAACGCAACTAAAAAGAATTATCCACTAACAACCAATTTCTCAGATACGATGCGAGCTGATCAAAAAAATGTTATAAATGGTTCAAGACTCAAGAGCAAACCTCCATAATTGATGTGATCCCAATCAAATCCACCAGCTTTTTTAAAATCTCCTGATGAGACTGCAAAATAAAAATATTCGTGAAAAAGTTGTAAGAGAGCTCTTCCAATCATCAAAATCTCAAAACACCCAGCTTACACTATATTCATTAAGATCCTAGAAAGTCGATGACTTACAGGCAGCAAGTCTAGTCTAGTAGTGAAAAGAATAGACTTGCTGTAATGCTTACTAGTCTAGTCTCCGAGTTTTCTTCGCTATAACTCTCTACATCAACATTGCAACAGTAAGTCACATCGACCAACACGAACTTATCCTTCGTCACTTACACGCAGATATCGCATCACGAGGACCGTCTTCCTAAGCAGTAGACAAACGACAACCTGGTAATCACATCACCGGATCAGCCAGCGTAATAAATATATCTAGAAAGAAGACAGCTTTTTGATAGACGCTTTTTCACCCTACAAAAACATCACTCAAGAATATAAAAGAAAACGATAAACAAAGCGCAGAGTGCAAGAACTTAAATCTCAGTAGTCCAGTTATCATCCCAAATCAGATTAGAATGAAACCAAAACACGCAATTGCGACTTGATAGGTGCCAAATGCAATGATTGAGAATCTTAGTGACCAGCACCGATGATATCAGCAGTTTGAGGAAAGTGCAGGTGATACGTTGCAGTAGTCGCCTCGAGTCTCAAAGCAATAAGGTCACAATTCCACACGTTAACCCTAAGCAGAACCTCTACGGCCCCAGGATCGGGCATATATGCAATCAATAATTGTGTAAGGAATCACCATCGGCAAACGTACCTTGCTAAAATATCCAGCCAGCAATGTTCCGTGAGGACGACTAGGATCCAAGAAGGAAAAGAGCATATTCATCAGCTGCATTTGAAACACATACAAGTACGAATATATCAGAACATGCATTCACCCACAACCACTATAATGCTGCGAGCCATTACGGCTTCCTTTCGACAAAACATCTCACTACTCAAGGCATTGTTCATTCAAAGATACGAAGAATACCTCTTCGTCTTCCCCAAGAGTCTTAAAGATTACATCGATTTCACACGTGAAAACTTCACATGCAATAAAGGGGAATCTGCAAAAACACCAGATTCGGACACCACATAAGTTAAGGAAAACACTTTCGAATGAATTGGCTTAAAGGCGTAACGGGATTACTCCGAGGTTGAAGTTTCTTAATAAACACGATGAACTCCTCATTTCAAGCCTCGTGATTAAAACATGCGCATGACTTCAATACTATATAGCAGAATGCTTGATAACATTTGCTTGTCAAAGCCTGCTGAATACAGGCCCCACGACCTCGCTGATGGGTCCGATCTTTGTATAAATTGAAGGATTTACAGCATGAAAATCCTTTACTGAACACCCATTCCTGGTTAACCAAGAAGTGACACTATCCAATTAGACGAAATGAAGACCTGACGATCATTTGATACATGCCAGAAAGGTCCGACTTACTTAAACGCCCTCTTGTTTTCTGCACCTTCTGGTGGATCCTCGATAACGTAGCGCAGCATCTGCTGAACCTGGACCTTTCCTCGAAGGCTGCATAACATGGTTAGAGGAGTGAGCTGGGGAAAAATTAGAAGCTTACCATATACGAGGCTTCCTCTTACTGACAAAACGTATATATACGATTCCGCGTGAAAACTAAAAATTAAGATGTTATCCATGTACCAGAAACAATTTTCGGTTTGTTGATATGACAGCAGTTACAAAACGAGGTAGCAGACACTTCTCCTTTTGTTACGAGGGAAAATTTCAATGATAGAAAATTGCACTAGATTCTGCCCGTCCGTTTACAATTACCATCTCCTCTGGTCTGCGACCCAACTGTCACAAACTGAGGAATGTTTATAGAAAAGTTTCTCATCCACGATGAACATTCCTATACAATAAGTTTCCTCGAAGACAATCACCTACATGACCTTCTGGTCTATGTGAAACCCACATCGGTGCCATGTAACAAAAATACAATAAAATAAACCTGGAATCCTAAGAAATACGCATAGCGAGTACCAATAGCAGTATCATCCACGCTTGAGAAGACTTACAAATTGATAAGGCGGCTGTTAAGAGCCTTGCATTCCTGGATGATCTCATCCTCGTCTAGAAGCTCTTCAAGGGTGAAGACTTCCTTGTCAAGAACAGACTCGACCTGTTCAAGTGGATGATCACGCTGTGCTTAGTCCACTGAGATGGTGATAGTATTCCCACATTCCCACAATGACGAAACAAGACAACACATGATGTCGTAGAACTTTCGCGAAGTAGCGAGTGGTAAAACTTCCAATTGCCAGACGGCGACATAGAGAAGACAGGCATGATAAAAAAACATCGCACACACAGCGAAAACCTTGGGCTACTACTTGATCGCAAAGTCATAAAACTAACGAAGCGCTTCATGCAGGTTGAGATGCCTATTGAGGTACTCCAAAACCGTAGGGCCGGATTGTCCATGCACTTGACTTTCTCATTTCCCTGTAAACTGCAGTGACAGAGGTTGCAGTTTTTTGCGTGATTTGCTTGCAGCTAGTCCCTCAAACTCTAATGCAGAGTGTCTTACAATTTCCAATCTTGTTCTCCACGGCCAAATCGGTAAGTTCCAGGATTTACACATGAGAGAGACTACTTTTGTGCAAGTTGAATTCTGAAGAGGCATGTTCTAGAATTTCTGGAGAAATGGTCACACGTACAGTGAGGCTCGACTTTTGAATATGTTGACTTACCCAAGAAACCCACATGTATCCTAAGGATTACTGCAACTATGAGTTAGAATGAAACACAGAAATTGCTTCAGCTCGTCACTCAGAGGCTAGGAATCATCAAATCTCGTCTTCGACAATCTAAATCTGACGATCCAACAACGACTTGCATTCCAAGATCTGATGGGAACTCGTAGCAGGTTGGGCATCGGGTCTTCTAAAGAAAATACTTCAACTAATGCAACTTCAGCGGGATGAGTACAAGTCCAGATAAACGTAACGATATCGTAACCGAACAACAATAGTACAACGCCAGATTTTACAGTGTTAAGACCCACGTTTGCCTCGGGGCTTAATGTCTGACTTGTAAGCCGGGATCACTTCGGCAGGGGTGCATTCCCTATTTCAAATGCACGTCCACTACCACATCCGGATTATAGGTTACTAACAAGACCTAACAGAAGCCACGGGGCGGTAGCAGACCATGCACTAAAACATGCTCTTGCTCATTGAAGAGATGGCCTGTGTCCTGCTTCGGTAAGTCACTCAAGACTCTGCCAAAGATGGCTTCCAAAGATAGCTGCGGTGATAGCTGCGGTGGGCTAGTTACGCGAGGGAAGTCGGAATGTGTAAAATCAACAAGCACAGTTTGAGTTTCGATATCCTCTAACACAGATCCAGCACGGAAGTGATCAGGGAACACAATATCTTACAGGTGAGGTGGTAGATAGTCCTGCCACGCGCCAAAACATTTTTTTCCAAAACCGTGCAATATCTGAGACCCTTTGATCCTTGAACGCAGCTGACAAGAAACGTTGAGTGACCAATGATTCCGATTCGCTCAACTTCGGAGAAGATACCGAGCACTTATGACCAGCCCTCTAGCTGAAAGATTCTCCAAATCCTCAACGCAGTACGCAGACAGTGCCTACGCGATCTGCAAGGGGCCCAAACGCACCTCAAATTCCTGCGATGTTACTTCTCAAGAGACAGCCGAGAGATTACTATGCTGGAAAGCACATGTGCACAGACCTCTCAAAGGGGGTTCCGAGCATCCGAAGGTGAAATCTGCTGTTATGTCTAAACCATTTCCACTCCTTTACTCGCACTTTTTCTTACTTCCTGTAACCCTAATGATCACCTGTCCTCCACCTGGCCCTGTCCCAGTACCAGGTCCAATCCACCCCCGCATCCCCCTGCGTAGTCGAGGCTTTCTCGTATCTTTTGTACACGACAAGCTCCAGCAGTGAAACTCGACAGTTGCGAGGTGCGACCACAAGCAGACACAACCTGTATTGAAGCTCTCGCGACGGATAGAAGTGGCTTGCGTTAGCTAACAATTCCGGCGTCTCCAGACATCCATGAGATCGCAACTACAAACCCTAATAGGCTTCCCCGCTGCAGCACAATTCAAGTACGATCTCCCCCGAAGCGCACCGGGTCACTGCGTAGAAGATTAGTCGTCGTCGGGGACAAACGAGCACTCGTCAGCAATTGCCAGGTCGCTCGGCCGCGGCCTGCACCAGAGAAACAAGACCAAAACGCCTATCGTCGTCTCCTGTCCGTGCGTGCCGTGCCCGAAACAAGGCGGCAGGGAGACAGAAGGAATCCGCTCTTCGGGCGCTGCGTAGGAAAACAATCTGCCTCTCTCCCCCTCCTCCTCCTCCCTCCCCGTGCCTCCTGCTCCGCCCTCCCGGCCTCCCTCTCTGCAGATGAAAGCAAGCACCTCTCGCTCTCTCTCTCTCTCTCCGCTGCCAGCAACAACAACGACCCAACTCTCTACAGCGAGAGGATGCGATGGAAAAAGCACCAACCTCTCCTCTCACCTGACATGCGGCAGAAGCACCAGCACCAGAGGAGCAGAGGGTGACGGTGATAGAAGAAGTTGATGTCGGTGGTGATAATCTAGTAATAGCCCTCACTCCCCTCCGTTCCTCCCTCCTCGGCAACCTACAACGTCTTACACTTGTTCCTTTCCCTTTTCTTCCTCCCTCTCGGCTCGCAGATGAGGCGCCCCCGACAAACCAACGAAAGCAACCACACCACCTCTTCTTCATCTACTATCCATCCCGCGCCCAACTAAGCCACAGGCCAAAGCAGCGGACCTGGCACAGCACCCTCCAAGCAGACGCAGCCCAGCACCACCAGCAGCAGCAGCAGCAGCAGCACCTACAAGTCGCACAGGAGCTAGACGGAGAAAGGGGCAGAGGGGACGAGAGACGAGAGGAGAGCAGAGCCGAGGAGGGAGGAGGGCGAGTGGGAGGCAGAGAGCTCAAGGACGACAGCGACAGCGGCAGCGGCAGCAGCGAGGCACGCAATAGAAACGCAGGAAGCCTGTCCATGTGAAAGGGTGCAAAGCCACACAAATTTTACGTTTCCCCTCCCTCGTTTGACCGCTCTGGGGAACCGCCCATCGCCGGTTCCCGCCACAAGCTGTCCCATTTTCACCGAGGGAGAAGCGGGAGTTCGGCCGGTTGCCGTATCGGCAATATGGACCCTCGATTGCTGCAGCCTTGCCGCCACGTGTGCGGTCTTCAACATATTGTGCCTTCACCCTATGCTGGGCTTGGCTGTACGCTACATCTGCCCGTTTCCTTCGTATGCGTATTCCATACGCCTTCCTCAGTCTCGGAACTGCCCTCTCATCTGTGTGGACCGCGTACCTGTTATGGGCCCGTGCATGTTACAGAATTGCGGTCCTTCGACTTAAAATAATCGTTTATTGCTCTTCGCTGTATTACTCGCTACTGCGACTTTAGATAAGATTCCAGTTCCCCGTCCTTTTCATACCGAACCCTGCGTCGTCAATGTTTTTTTTACTCCCATGACCTCCGTTCCGAAAGTGGACTTTACCTGCATTCGAAACATTTGTCTTCTGTGTGTGGGCGACTTTGCCACCGCGGTATTCGAAAATTGCCTAATTGAAACTCCTGTCTTCTCGGTCACCTCGAGAACCGAACCGCTCACGCAGTCCTCCTTTGGATACTTTCACCCATTTTGATTGTCCCACTCCGGCTCTCGGTGCGTATGCTATCCGCACTTGACCTATTTTCTCGCTTAAATTAAGTCGGAGGAGCAAAGAAGGTACTTGTGTCTTGATTTGAAAAATGGGGGCCAATGATGGATTTTAGCTCTGCACAAGGTTGAAAGTTCCATCCATCAAGAAAGTCGAGCACACCATCCTCACCTCAGCGCCAAAGAGCGAATAAGCTCTCTCTGCTTGGTGCCCCGGTGAACCTGTTCAGTTTTAGGTCAACCTCGACTGGAGTGAAGTTATTATCGATGAGTCGTTTCAATCAGATGTGATACAAAATTCACCCCTTGCTGTTTGAGAACACTATCTCCCTGGTTTTCCTAACGATCACAGATCTATCCCAAAATTGAACAAAAGCGTGTTCTCGCGTTTCAAGCAACGTACTGAGGAGTTATCTGCTGCGTGCTCTAGATAGGCCATATGGCGTTTTATGACCCTACTCGTATTAAGGGGAAACCTACAGATTAGGTAATGTGATGTAAGTTATGGCTCGTGAAAGTCAAATTTTTGAAACTGAGACTTAAAGAGTGATGATATAGTGGACAAATTTTAATACATAAATTTATATTCTTTGTAATATGGCCTTTACAAAATGGTGAAAGTCCTTTTGATAGTTTTGAGATTACAAAATACTGTCATACACTTATGTTCATGTAAAATAATTTTTGATATGACTGTGATGAGACATTCATCCCCTATAAAGTGATCAAGAGTGTGAGAGAGAAATACATGAAGCTGAACGAAAGGAATAAGATGAAAACAAAACCTATAGTTTTGATATCACTGTGCTTGTTACTGAACTCCAATCACCAAACATACATGAACTCACTATTCCTACATAACGAGTCAATGTCGTATGAAACATTGTGTATACAAGAGCAGGGTCACAATGTGCCAGTGCCACAAGAACTGAACAGGAATCTATCCCATGGAGAGAGACATGGAATGGTCTCGCTCGATGTTCATAGTACTTTTCAGGACTTCTCTTGCTCTACGATCACGAGCCTTCTGGCTGCCGATGAATAAAGACTGTAGTGAATCCAGCTCATACCAATTATTTTATTGCGCTCCGATGACTTCAGAAACTATTACTGTGTTGAAACTCTACTGTTCTGTAATTTCTAATACAGTAAACTGTTTCGAGCCAATTCAAGGTATGATATGAAAAGCGGTCGACACACTTGAAAAGGAGTAAACTCGATCGACGGGGAGCATGAATGGAAGAAAGGACTAGAAGCTGGTAGAGGCCTGATGGAAGCCGAGAACAAAGTGACGGGGATTCAGGAGGGCTAATTCTTCGTATACACAAACACGAAATACGCATAGATGGAACCGTCCACAGTCAGTCGGCACACTTACATTCATGTGGACAGAGATGTAATATTTTTATCTGATTCAGCATGAGATTCTATCGTCACGTATTGTGTGGATTATTGGAGAACCCTGAAGAGCAATTTCACATACTTGACAATCATACAATATCTCACCCAATTTGTTATAAACTCCTATATGCCCTGCGAAAAAATCACCTCTTCTGCGTTGATAATTGATTTGATTAGATAATAGAGAATACTCACTGCGAGTATTTCAATTATGTAGCCTGTTAGTGTATAACGCTGAAGTTATCCTTAATCTACTATCTTTAATCTTTAGCCTAATACCAGCAAGTCAACTGAGCAGTCGATTTTTCTTCTCGTACATTTCTTCGAAATTATTGCAGGCTTCACAAGCTCATATTGTCCAGGAATACAAGTCACCAAATGTTTCAATCCAATTGAGTTGAAAAAACGACAATGCCCGTGAACTGTAAGTTTAAAAGCAAGGCTAGGTATATGAAACCGGTGGCTGTTGAGAGACGACAAGGATGAAAATATATACTGTATTGTCTGGCATTCGGGTATTATTCATTAAAACTTGCCCACGTTTTTACTTGAAAACGGAAGCTGCTTTGATTGACGACGGGAAAGATATTTCCACACTCCAACATCAGACGATCCGGTCGACAATTTATCACTGCAATTATTCAAGATTAACAATCCATCTCAGAAATAATTGAAATAATTACCTCAAGTTATCATGATTCATAATAGAAAACCAAATTTTTAAAAAAAATTCATATATATATATATATATATATATATTAATCTTATACATGTGAGATCATACATCAACTTATTTTTTAAAGAATAATATGTTTCGAAATATTTTACTAATTCTTTTGATGTGGAAAACATCCTTAAACGAGTCAACCATATAAGAAATACAATACAAAATAAACTTGATAGTTCAGTAAACTTTAAAGTATTCACATTGATATAAATTATTTGTTTATCAATTTTTTATATTTATAAAAAATAAGTTTGGAAATTTTTTAACTGAAATTAAATTTTATTTTCATAATTTCAAATAATCTCAACATTTCAAATAAATATGAAAATAAAAATAAACATAGATGCTAATATGATTATGAAAACGTTTAATTATGTTCTAAAAAAATAAAAATTTGAATGTTGATATCCGATTATTCAAACCAAATGTGTTGCATAAATATTTAGTATGCTTTAATATTTTTTCCCTATCTACAATAATAAGCAAAAGACTTCTACAAAAATTCAGTATTTGATTTACATATCTGATTTATACAGATTTTGTACCAGTAAAAATTTGGGAATAATGGAACAAATACTTAAATTTAAATTTAAAGAGAAAAAAGTCAGAATATTTATTATTTTGTCATTCAAGGGTAGGAAAAAATGTAATGTGATTTACTACGATATAATAGCAACAAAATAAATTTTATTTTTTTGTCGTAACCAGATTTTTTAAACAAACAATATGTGAAGTAAAACCTTTGAAAGATAATGCAGTTTTAATTTGGAGGAAAATATTCTTTAGCGTAACAAGCATTGTTTTCATATTTCGTATTTTTATTCTGACTAAAAATATACATATTAAAATGCTAGTTTACAATTACTCTGGTTTTTTTATAATAGCTTATGCGAATCATTGATAAATGATGCAAACTCATATGTAATGAGCAAAATCATGCATATAAACAAATGCAACAATCATGGTTGTAGCAACTACTATGGTAAGTGATCAAACATTCTATATTCCCATAAATCTAAAAATACTTAATCCAAATATTTCAAATCAAATATGTTTTATATTTGCATAAGGTTCTGCAATAAAAATAAACTATTAAAAAACACAAGGAAACCTTATGTGAACACACCAAATGCGCAAAAGTGCAGAGACAAAAATATATTGCTTTAGCCCTTTCGGTTTTTTTCGTTTCATTGTGCGCTCTCCAACATCTGCTAAAGCGTAGAGCATTTCAAATCTAAATGTATCAAAGTTGTAGATTATAAAATTTCGAACATTATAAATGCTTATTTTGAATTTTTTATAAATAATAAGATTTAATCTAATTCCATAATATGACCAAAATGAAAATTTTAACTATAATACGAAAAAAATAATCAGCATATAGAAAAATCTGTATTTAAAAAATGAAAATGAAAATTAATTATTAATTATACACATAGTTTTTAAAAAATACATATTTCTATCAAGTTAATAAAATAATAATTAATAAAACTCAATTAAAACGTCTACATACAATATGTATACAAAAAGATATTTATTTCTTCAAAAAATCCCATAAATATTTGTTTGAAGATGATCTAATGAATGTTATGAAAAATAACACAATTCCGAATATAATTTGAAAATCGTTCATATTGATTGATACCAGTTTAAAATTAATGTATTCATGAACTGATGTGAAATGCACTGAATAAATTAAAATTTCGGTTTTACTTTTTTTGCTGATTTGGTCTCCCTAGGTTGGATTTGAACCAACAACCCAACAGTTAACAGCCATTTGCTCTAACCGCTAAGCTACTAAAGAATAAGCACCAAAGAAACGAATCGAAAATAAAACAAAAATCAATTTTGGAGCTACACCTTTATACAAGCGTCCATTTTGGCGTAAGGACAAGCAACTAGGCTTGTTGGCTCAAAGGCTCTAAGGTCATTATCTCGGCTTCGATTATGGGCAGACACCTTTTAACCTAGGTTCCCTTAATCAGATCATAGATTAGAAATGAGCTTATCCCATCGTAATAATAAAGGTTTCCAACCGTATTATTTACTATGATGTCAACGAAAATTCTCGGGGGTCCCTTCTTAGTTTTATTTATAAAAAGTTAGGGTCCAGTTTCCCGACTTGGAAAACCGAATTAGTCATTTTTAAAATCTCAGTGTTTGGTATAAGTTCCCATTCTGAACCTAACAATTATTACTATCATTAATATCTTGTATAATAATAATTTCATCTTCGTATAATAAAACTAAATTTTGGCTGTAGGAGGCTGAAGGTAGCAATTGTGACCATGTATTGTTTGGTGCTTCTTTAGTCAAGTACAAGATACAAGTAGGACCTGTGCTAGAAGCAAGCTGTGCAATCCAATCGCCCTGATTGTTTCGCAGAATATTTTGTTTTTTCTCTTTTGGTTTAAATAAAGTTTTACCTTTAATAGTACACAATGTATTCTTGATTTGTCGCCATTGTAGACTGGTCAAGCCACTACAATGAAATAAAAGAATATATGGATATTGTTTTTTGATCTCTTGGGGCCAAAGGGCACTCGACCTTAGGGAGAGGGCTTTTTTTCGTAGAAATTTTCGTTGCATAAGGCCATTTAAATTTTTTTTTTCAAAACTATACTTATTTGGCTTGTAAAACCCTTTCTTTCGTAAAGCCAAATAAGGAAAAATACAAATTGACGATATATGCTTTATTTTTTCAGTTTATCTGAAATATTTATATTTTTTTATTTCATTTGTATACACACAAAAAAACCTAACACATAATTTTGTTTCAAAAGATGCTACATTTATTGCAAAAAACACCCCAAAAACATATCAATTTCATTATAAATATCGTCATGAAAATATTTTTTATTTAACTGATTATTGGAGACTTTTTATGTTCATACAAACTACATACATTTATAAATACTCAGAAGAATTTGTTTCTCATTTGATAAACACATTTGATTATAGTGTAGCAAAATAAAATATTTTCTTCTCACTGAAAAAGAAGAGGAAGATAGAACATGATTTATGTAGAACTTAAAAATATATATATAATTAAAAAATTTGCTGCTTGAATCAGAAAACATATGATTTCAATACATTCATGTATTCTAAAATTTGTATCCTAACAAAAAATTTTGATTTCATTGATTTTATCCTAGAATTGATTTCTGAAAACCGAAAAATATTTTTCCAAAAAGTTAGAATAAGAAAACATAAAATAACTTATTTTTTTAATTTATATCATTTTTCAGCAAAAAAAATATTTTTAAATTGATCTGTTAATGATGAAGTTAAATTATTATGAATCAAAGACACAACTGAATTAAAACAATTTATTTGAATGCTTAGTGGGCTTTATGGATTTATAATCAGTCAACAAATATATATGTTATATGATATTTTACTATCAATATTCTTTAGAAAAACTCATTTATGAATTTTTTATATATTTATTCAACAACTTGATAACATTTTATTAGTTTATAAATTTCTTTGATTTTAGTTGGAAAATAATTAGATTATCTTAAATTCAAAATATTTCTTGATTAACAAATTCATGAGTTGAATAAATTTTGTTGTATTAAAAGAATGGTAGAATTTAATCTAAACCTGTTTGACAAAATATCATCGTACATCACATTCATATGGAAAATGATATTTAAAATGATTTGATTTTCAAATCCAATATCTATATTCTAATAAGTTTATAAATTTCTTTTGTTTTTAGCATAAACTTCTCTAATAAGATTAACAATGAATTGGCAGAAAATTTCCTACACAATAACATGTTTTTTTGCAAAGTCCTAAAGATGTTAAATTATGGTAGAGCATGACGACAATAGAATAAGACTAAAAAAAACTTCCAATAGAAGATTGTTCATCAAATTATAAAATATTCATAACTTATTTTAATATACTTTGTTTTGAATTCAGTGCAAAACTCACACAATATAATATGTTTGAACATGTTGTAACAATAAATAATTAACAGCATTTATGTTTAGAATACAAAAGATACTTAGATGTTGTAAATCACATGACAAAACATTTGAGTTATACATATGATTTCATATTTTAATGAAAATTAATTTTGCTTATATGAATAAAATTTTGAGATGTTTGTTTTCAAATATATGTATGTTGGATAAAAATTAAATTTAATTTACATAAAGACAAATTTATAACATTTCAATTTCAAAGTTTTTTTAAACAAGAAAAATGATATAAAATGTATGTTAGATTTTGCTATTTAAAACATCAATTTCAGAAATTTTTTCATAGTTTCATGCAAAATAATGAATTAATAATTCAAGTGCAAACTTTGCTTGAAAAATGATGATAAATTAATATAATATGTTGAAGTGATTAATATACTGACAAAATTTTTATAATATATATTTTAAAAGTATAATAGATAAATATTTAGATAGAATATTTTCATATTATTAAAAAAATGTAGCTAAGGTAGGATGTTTTTGTTTTTGAATAATTCAATTAATTTTTAAAATGAAGGAAATTAATAACTTTAAATAAAATTGCATTTTTTGATATCAACAGATTTTGATAAGAAAAGATCAAATAATGCAACAATTTTGGCATCCATAACCTCTCAAGTACATAAACTATTCCAATTTATAACTATTTTATTTTATTGTTAGGTTAATTCTATCTTGGATTATTTTCATCTACCAATAACCATGATTGGGGTAATTGATTTTTATTAGGCTAGGTAATATATGCATGTTGTTTCTTACTGTATAGAAGAGAGTAGACACTCACTATTTACAGTTTATAGTTTCACTTTGAAAGTGAGCATGAAGGACTAGAGCTTGGCTATGGAATATACAAATAGAATTGTGGTTCAGTGTAATTTATACTTTTGCCCGTGAACATAGCATGTAGACAATAAAACACATGATTTTGGTGTTGTGCTTGTCGTGTGTGCCAATGTATCTTGTTGTTGGGCATTACAGTTCTTTTATAAAATTAGAATATAATATATTATCAACTTTATAAGAAAACAATTTATAAAAAAACATACAAAATCTTTACATCAAACATCATCATTATTAAAGAATTATCCAAAATAATTATTTTCATTATAAACATTCTACAACTAACTCTCTAAAAAATCACAAAAGAATTGTAAAACATTTACAATACAAAATATTTTCAAACAATAAATTGGTATCATAATTCTAGTTGAGAAATTCGTTGCATACACCAACGCACATGAGTTGGATTCACTTGCATAAGTTATGATTTTGTAAGCAAAAGATTTATTGTGCAATCATTGGAAAAATATATGAAGCAAATTTTTTATCAATAATAGTAGAATTATTTAGTGTTAATCTAAAATATAAGCATCTTAATTTGTAGAAATATGCATATTATACATGTGTGATCAGAATTCATAGATTTTGTTTCATTTTCAAATTTACAATAACTGTAACAATAAAGTTATTCAATTTGGAAAAAAATATGATTAAATTATTTGTTTTACAATTTTTATTTGTTTCCAATTTTCAAACGTATAGATTCTACTATGATATATATCTTCATTTATTTTATCAAATGGATATGAATATTTAAAGACATATTAATTTGCCATATAACTTGATCAATTCATTAGAAATTTTATATTTATATATAATTTTCAATTCAGATTTTAAAATTATTTAAAATAATTTTATATAGAGAAAATAAATAAGGATTTTTTTCCATTTTTTAGAAATGAAATTCAGAAAATAATACATCATATGCTCAATCATAGAAACAAAAATAAGTATTTCAGAATAATTTTATTTGATATTAAAATCTCAAATTCATACTGTTTATGTAAATATAGTTACATCCATAAATAATTTAACACCAAATCATTGAAGCAAACTTCAACTTGAAAAAAAATTGTTTTCTATAATCAATCACTAAAAATGAAAATTTTAAATCTTTTATTTTTTGTCTTAGATGCTATTTGGAAACATCATTTTTTGTGTAAAATTAAAAAGACTTCATTACACAAATCTACACAAAAGTTCACTGTTATAGTATAATTTTATTTTTAGCTAAGGAATAAAAAATTCGATTACAAAGACATTTTATTCTTGGGCTTTAGTTATTAATTTTGAGGAATTGTATTTATAAATATAATTATTTAAAAAAAAATATAAAAATTAAATAATGGAAATAAAATGACATATTTCAAATTAAAATTTTACATTTGTTTTCAGCAAAAAATTTTGCGTACCTTCAAAATAAATTCATTTATTGTTATGTTTGCATGGATGATAATATTTAAAATACATTGAAATCAACACAAATTTACATTTATTGGATTTACTATCTGTCAAAATTCAGAGGAATATATTAGAATATGATACTTTTTAATGATGAATTTTTATTATCCAAATTTAATGTTTTCTTATTAAGTTTGTAATTTTATCATCACCTATGAATATTTGATTTAATTTCAATTTTAATTAATAAAATTTATTTTTGATTGAAGACAACAGAGAGTTCAATATCCAAAATATAATGTTACATTTTTATTACTCTTTCACAATTCATTATCAAATTTAAATTTCTGTAGAATACTAGCAAAAAGCTACTAAATTCTTGTTGGTATGAACTTGCAAAATAAAGTGAAAATGTATCAAAATATAGTTTTTAATATAAATTCATAGATCAAATTCCTGTGCTATAGATTTTGTCTTCAATTTTACTTTCAGCCGGTGATAATATTTGTTGATGTTTTCTTCATTTGATGATACTTGTTGGTAATTTTCAAATGTTTGAAGATTTTTTTCATTACAACTGATGAGGAAAGTCGATATAAAATCCATACAAATTTTAAATCCGCGTAACAATTTTATCCTCGTAACAATTTTTTTAATTCGAATAAATGAAAGCTTCAAATTTATTTTAAATCATAAGATATGTTTTTTTTCATGTCAAAATGTTTGATAAGAAAACACTTATAAATATTCTCACACCTTACACATAAATTGATATGTGTGATTTTTAGTTTATTTGTATATAGTTTTCATTTGAAAGATATATAAATATTTTGGATTTTTAACAGTAGACAAAATCAAATTATTAGAAGTATAATTATTGAAGATTATTTAAGTTATTCATATCAAGAAATTTTGTTTGAAATAAAGAAAAAAGTCAAAAAATTTGATTATTATGAATTTCTTTCAGTTTATATATATATATATATATATATATATAACATACTAGTAGTTAATATGTCATCATTTTACTCAAAATTGATACATTTCTTTTAACTTTTGTTGGCAACATCTTCACAAATAGATGGCTTCATAGTCTACAAAATTGAAACTAAGAATTATCAAAACAACGCGTAAAAGTTGGTAAAGTTTAAATTCATATCAAATTTGAGCTTACAATTTTTACTATTACTTTAAATATTATATTAACAAGTATGCTAGATAATATAGTTTAATGATATTATATTTTTCATTCTATGATACTTCAAAATTCGTATCAAGAGTTTTAGATTAAATTATAGCTATTATATATACTTACATGCTATTAATTTTCAATCCATGATATTTATGGACAATTTTTTTTATATGAAATGTTCATACTATTGAAA